AGGCTGGGAACTCGATGGGACATTCGCTTATCACGCCGTGGGGTCCGATTCCACCCTTTTTCGATTCCTCCTTCTCCCTCCATCTCTACTCACTGGCTCTGGTAGCTGGTCCGCGAACGACCCGCCGGGGGAGGATTCTGGGTCTCGACTAGAGGACCCGCGCCGGATCAGGCCATCGGGAATGGCATTTTCGGCGTCGATTGGATCCTCCTTGATCGGGAAACCCCCCTGCTCCCGCGCGGGAGAGAGAAAATGCAGTCCGGACGGAGGGTTTCCGCGGCAATTCAGCTCTACGTTTTCAGAGAGAGAGAGAGGGGAAAGAACCCTTTCCCACCAAACCGTAACGGCTCGCTTAGGCGGCGGCTCATCCATGACGACTCCACCACCCGCGCCGCACCAGAGCTGGTTCGTGCCATCTTCACAGCGGGGTCTGGGAAATTACGCTCGTTTACTCTGGTGCACACGGGCAACGGGGCGGCATCATGACAGCACAGGGCTTCAAGGAGACAGGCAGGCAGACTGGCTCGGTCGGCCTTAACTTGGGGGCCAACGGGCCGGCGCGGTTAGGTGGGATGGAATTGGGAAGGAATGTCTACGAGGCCCACGATGGACAACAACAACAGACAGTGGCTGGGCCACCGGACAGACTAACGGGATTAGTCGAAAGCTTAACGCGCTCTCTCCCTCAATTAGCAAGATCACATTAATTAAAGATGCTAGAAAATAGATACAAAAATTCTCATTCTAAAACCTTCCCTAAGTGACTGACTGACGTCCACCCATGGCTGGGTTGGCACACGCATGTGAAGCTGGAAAGTGGGCCGGGCACGCGCGCTGAGGAACATCCCGGCAGATGTGGGCACGTTCGAAAATAGGTAGAGCCCACGTGGGGAGGTGGGAGGGTGTGTGACAGGGGTCCCAAGGGGGAGGGGGGGCACAGAGAACTCGGAATGATTTGCACTTGGATGTGTAGTGTGCAGGGGTGTATTTGATTTTAATTGAAACAGAAACTCGAGTAAGACACAGCTGACAGGTACCTGGATAGGTGGGTGGGTATCTGGCAATCATTTCTTGTTGTTGTTGTTATTTTTTTCCCTCTTGCTGTTCTGTTGTAGGTAGGCTGGGCAGGGCGATGCAGCCTGTTGTCAGAAGGCTCAGAGGCTCCCGTTGGTTGACCAAGGGCGCTGCCTGCCTACAATTACCACCAACTGGGTAGTACATACCACGATACATACATACAACGTACGATTTGGGGGCCATTTTTGGAAAGCAAATCGCCGGGTAGGATTCGTGACCGGAAAAAGGGACATGGGATGGAACCGACAGGTAGGACCCATGCTGAAAAATAGGAAAAAGGAAAAAAAATATGATAGACCATACCCAAAACCTCCAACCCCACCAACGACCCCAGTCCTATTCGAAGAAAAGAACGGGAGGATGGAGGATGGAGGAGGGGCCGTTGTGGAGACGATGGTACGGCGACATCACGATGATTAGGCTTCTACTTTACTAAGACAGGGGCTTCAGGTTTTGTGTCCTTGTCTTGTGGTCTGGTGATGGTATGTGATGGAGGGGAGGGAGAGCAAGGGCCGTACGTCGGGTGTGGTAGACGAGTGCGATGCAGGCTGACTGCCGTGCAACCATAGCGGAGCAATTGAAACTTCATGGGGCATAAGACGAAAGAGAAGGATGGGAAGGAAAAAGAGTCTCAATTGTGTTTTTCTGGAACAATTCCTTTTTTGGAAAGAAATGTACCGAATTGGAAACAAAACAAAATCAACCTACTTGTGCCTGATTTGGGTGAAATGTCCAGATGGGCTCGCCCGACCGCCGAATGGCGGCTGCGGGATAAGCGCGGCTGCGCGCCAAGAGTAGGAAGAAGGGGAGGGGAGGGAGTGAAAACCACCCATGCCGTGCTACCTATCCCAGCCTGCATGGGCATTTGACAGCTTGTTGGGTGACTTGCGAGAGAGGGAAATGGATGCAACGGAAGATGTCACGCAAATCGCAGCTTAGCCGGGCGAGGCCAACAACCCCCCTGAGGGTTCGTCCCTTGTAATTTTTTTCTCGGTTGTCCACCATTGCGACATGTGCATGCTTTGTTCCGAGCGATCCTACCCAGACTCTTTGTGCATACGGAAGAGGGGTTTATTTTCCTTGGGGAATAAAACGGTGGTGTTGTGCAGAGACATGTATGTCAGATCCGGAGACAGGGCCTCAAATCAGAGTTGCAGCACCTAACCGAGGGGATCTTGCCTTTAGCCCTACCATCGGTAGATCTCTGCCACCCAACATGTCCTGGCTGTGCGACTGCGCGAGTGTGTGTCAGTGACTGTTTTTGTGTTTGTTGTTGCCTCGCCCGCGGCTAACGGGCCAATCGGGCGGTGCTTGAGTACGTTATTTTTGCCACGCTCCGCAAGTGTTGTGCATCGGATGCATCAAATCGACGCAACTACCGTGGGGTATGTGTGAGTGTGAGTGTCCAGGTGTGCGTGTGTGCCCCTCGGCGGTGTGTGTGTGTGGGTGTGTGTGTGGGCCATATAGTATTCCCTCGTGACCGCAGCGCTATGAGGTGCACTGGATATAGAAGCCAAACTGTCATCATGTGCGAAACAGCACCTTTAGCCACGCTCCACGAGAGCGATTTAGAAACTGTCATCTCGCCGACATAGTTGCTAGGCGGCGTGATTGGCCTGAGGGGCGTGTGAGGCGCGGGCAAAGGAGCTCGACTCTGCCAGGCTGGTAAGATCTTTGCTCTTCCTTCCGTGGGCCCCCCGTTTTCCATGCCCAATTTCAGGGGTTGGGGAGAAACCAGATCCAAACCTCATGATGAGATGACTGACCGTTGCGCGAGAGAGAGTGTGGGAGAGTGAGAGGGAGAATGGGTGGAGCAGGTGAGGTCAGGTCAGGTCAGGTCAGCAAGCCGTCCGGGGCCCGAAGATTGCCAAGTCGCGGTAGTGTGCCTGTCAGATTAGCTAGCGGGGCTCCGAGATCTAAAAATAGCCCCCACCCACTGCACTACAATACACCGAGTCCACTCGCAAAACACACGCAAGCAGGACACAGGTCATACCGTAGCACTCGAGCCTCAGGGGAGCCAAAGCTCAGAGACCCGTTCGAATCCTTCCTTTGCAGCGTCGCCGACAGCCTTCGGGGTCCTGTGCCGGTGTGGTTGCCGCAGCGGCACCACGACAGTAAGCCGTGCATGCCAGGCAGGGATCCGGCCACATGCCACCGTACCGTGATGTAGGATCCGGCGTTGGGGGCCTAAAAATATCAGACAAGGCCCGCGACTAGAGGACGGTGATGCTGCTGGTGGCTGCTTGCTGATGCTGATGCTGATGCTGGCCGTCCTCGCCCTTGCAGCGCGGCTGTACAATCCCAAGAAAGATCTTGCGCTTTGCTGGTTTCGGCCATGTTCCGCCCCCAAAAATGGATCTCTAGGACGCTTGACCACGTTTTTGTCTGCCGTGATGGTTGCACGACATGCTCGGAACCTGGCCCCCGGCTGCGTTTGAGAGACATTGGTCTGTGTGTCTTCCCAGGGGAACGGACGTGCCTGTGAGCCAGAAAACGGTGACTGATATGCTTCTACTTGCTGTTATGGAGCCTGACTGCCCATGTGCTCGCTTTGCGTTGTGCCGGTTCAGGCTGGGACTGGGAGCCTGCGCCGAGCTCGATCGGACTCTGATGTTTGCACACTATCACGAAGTTCTAAATCGGAACCCGCTAGTGCCAAGGCTGTCACCTCTCATCAAGCATGTTGACAAGCAGTCGTCCGATGTCTCAGCTACGTACCAGCCACAGTACTGTTGCTTCAATTAATGAGGCGACAGCCGGGTGACAGAAGCTTACTGCGGCAAGGCACACACATGCCAAGTCGCCATGTGGCGGCGCGTATTCACGCTGTTTCGCTTCTGATTCCCTGTCTCAGGATGGGCCGGCCCTAACTATCATGGGGAGGGTCACGACAGCTGAGGAAGAGATGTTCCGGGCCATTGACTGCTGTTGCGGACCTCCAACCCGGGGCGGAGGAGCTTTAGGACGGTGATGACTGCACGGCAGAGCTCTTTGCGGGTGCCTGTCTCTCGTATCCTCCCGTTTCGGGACATGATACTCACTTCAAGTCAGGAAGCTCTTCATCCCAATACTATAGGCAAATTGGTCCATGCAAATCGGTAGAGCTCATGATAGCCTCTGAGCACGTGGCCTCTTTCTCTCCCTATGCAGGAGTAGGTTTGAGATGGTTAGCCTTCAATGAGGATTTGCTAGATGATTGACAGGAGGCAATGGTCTTGACACCATGGATCTTCACGATTCATTTCGCCATTGAAAGTTTGTTGTTGGCGGCAGAGTGTTGTGTTGAGATTGTCAAGGTGAATTGTGGGGGAGCAGACAGCAGGGGGTTGAAGTGGTGCCCCCCACGCAAGCGCAACAGCACTGTGTGCCACCACGAGGACGCACGGGCCATGGTGGGAACCTCGCCATTCACAGACGCGTCCGTCGCGTCTCCCACTACCAGACCTCGCCGCTGGCAGCCTCCAACCTTCATCGCCCGCCGATGACCTCAACTGCAACAGCAGCTCGCTCGCGAGGCAGAAGACAATTATGCCTGAGGTGACGACAAATGATCGCCAGAAGGTCATACTGGACCAGGCAAGAAAGCTCTACCGCGATGGCAAGTACAAGGCTGCCTTGGCAGCCTTCAAAGAGGCAAGCTCCCAATCAGACACCGCAGCTGCGATAACAACTTGCTGACCCACATCTTCAAGGGTTTGCTGAGATGCCCTTGCACCAGAGATGTCATGGTGCAATCCAAGAAGTTGGGATTGAGTCTTAAGGAGATTCCAATTCCACGATGTCACTGCAAGGACTTTGAGTCATTGCCCATTTGGGGTTCCCATCGACTTGCCCTGTACAAAATGGCCAAGAGACCCTGCACCTGTGGAAGTGGATTGTTCCATTGCAATTCCCAGGGCCATTTGGCTGCCCTTGAGGGCATGATTGCGACATATGAAAAGCTTGACAGCCCGGTCAAGGCCCGCGAGCACGCTTCACTGCTCATCATTATCTCTCCACGCGCCCCAGAGGGGTACCTGAGATTGGCCAAGGCCCTGCGCCTGTGCGACACTGCGCAATCGCCAGACACAACAGCACGCTGCAGATGGATCTACCGCCAGGCTATTGAGAGTGTGCAAGCATACGGCAACAAGGACCATGACAAGTTGAAGGTATGCTCACCACCCCATGCCGTCCACTCTTGTCTCATCCTCATCCTCTGCTGCCTGAGTAGCTTGACTTGGCTGGCATATGGCTTGCAATATCCCTTACAGAGTCTCGCTAACAAGCTGTCCCAGGTTCTGGCTGGTCTGTTGCGCAGAGATATCATTGGCTCACTGCCAGTTGAACTGCGAAATATAATCCTTGGAAACTTGAGCAATGCTGATCTGTGCCGTTCCATGAGAGTCTCAAAGTCCTGGAAGGGAGTCTGTTTAGACCCAACTCTTTGGAAGCATCTGACTATTGTCAAGAACTGGTCTGCAGCGAAACCTCGGCCTCTCCGGAAGCGCGCTTTCAACAACATCATCACCAAGCGCGCCCAGGCCAATGTCAAGAGCCTGACTTTGTGGGGCGTGTACGATTTCGGCATTAGCCTCGAAACCTTCAAGGCCACCCTCAAGGTCTTGGATCGACTGGAGTTTCTCTCTCTCAAAGGCACAGACGGGGTCGATGGCACGGATCTGGACTTCCCGGGCGCACCTCCTTGCCACGAGTGGTCCAAATCCGTGTTCGAGGGAGCTCCTCCATGCCTCAAGACGCTTCGTCTTGGAGGCTTTCGCACAATGGACTTACCCCCTGATTGGCCCCTGCCTTCAAGGATTCCGATGGCACAGTCTCTGGAAGAGCTCAGTCTTGGCCACTTGACCGGCCGCTCTGTAACCCCGAGAATGTTGCTCTCAACAGTCTGGCCAAAGTTGACAAAGCTGAAAATGGTGCGGACTAAGGATCATTTTCCCTTGAGGGTTGACCTGGTAAGAATCTCCACCATCAGTCTGTTTTCAAGTTCTAATTTTTATTCTCTAGGAATTACTTGCCAAGGCCACGCCTTCACTCAAGGATCTATGTATCCGCGACCCGCTTGGTTGCAGCAAAGCCTTCTCTATGCCGGTGTCGTGGGAAAACCTGGAGCGACTGGAACTCACAATGCAGTCGCCCAATGACGGGGTGCATCTGGGCGATGACGTGTTGATCCTCCCAAAATTGCCTCCTACAACTCGATCTTTGGTGTTTCCCAGGAACGCTATAAGTCTGCTCGGTGCTTATCGGCAATTGGCTCAAGAAGAGCCAGATATCATCCAATACAATGCTTTTCTTACACAACTAGGACACCCGCCAGTCTCTGACACAGGTTTCCAGCCACCATTGACGGAACTCGAACGACTCGAGCATTTGTGCGTCAAAGATCTAGGCGCTCTATACGATCGTCACATCAATTTCGATCACCTGTCTTGGTTCCTGGAATTTATCAAGCCAAGCATGACCAACGGTTCTCTCGCTTCACTGGCCATCACCTTCTGCCCAGAAACACGGTTCATGTTCGACAAGGTCCTCAACAAGAAAGCCATTCACACACTCAGTTGCTTCAGCTTCACCGAACAGAGCACTGTTGTCTCGCAATGCGGCGACACCTTCGTTCATTGGCTTGAAGGCTTTCCGTACCTCACCACGCTGGGCGTGTTTCCGCAAAAGTTCGAGGGCTGCTGGATGCTCTTGTCCAAGGTCCTGGCCAAGGACACCAGGATTAAAACCATCTACACCAACATCCTCACCGGCGTGTGGCGCGACTGGATCTTGGACAGGGCGAGGGAGAAGAGTGTCAAGATCATAGAGGCAGACAGTATCCCGGAGCCCGTCCTCCAGCCGCTTGAGTCGGAGTAAGGATAAGACAGGAAGGTGGGCGCACCAATACCCTGGAGCTCTGGGCAATGAAAGCACGATTGTTGCCTACCTGCACTTTGGAAGAAGAAGAGTAAAAACAAAATAAAGAAAAGCAAAACCCTCCGAAGGATGTCCGCTCGATGAGTAGGATTGAAAGAGCCTCCATCAATCTCGAAAATTACATGCCCAAATCGAACAACAGGCTGGCAGGGATGAATTGGGAAGACGGGCCCGTGGGATCGACGACTTGATGATTTGTAAAAATGCATAGCGCCGGAAATGGAAGGATACCCAGGCGTTTCCTCAGAAGTGGACCAGGTTGGACACCTGGCTTCTGAAAGGCGTACATTGGCGCCATGATTTGTTTCCCCGTTAATTCTCTTCGGCAATGGTAGGCACATGTGGAATCAATAGCCTTTTCGATGGGGTCTGAGATGGGAGAGTTTGGTTGCAGCTGCGGACCTCACGTGTTTGGTGGAGGATGCCAAGGGAGCTTCTGCGGTCACTGTCTGTTCGCCTGCGGCGACAGTACCGCTTAAGGCACACGCTGTGCCGTGGCTCGACCATACATATATATCGATATAAAATGACGACTGTAAAACAGAATAATGACAGCCACTGAATGAATCCAGAATGTCATGTGAGTGTGTATTACCGTCTACCCAAGGACCGAACGCGCCTTTACCTCTGTATCTGACAGTTGTGTTCCACAAGTCGTTTTCGCCTCTAGGTGGTACGGGTCATCTTCAGAATTCCTCACGCCAGACCCTCAAGAGAACACATGAGGACACAAACTCATAATATCGTCAACAACATTAAGTCATCACAAGAGCGCACAGCCGTTTAGAGCTCATAAAGTCGTGAAGATGGACAAAGGGGGGACATGCAGGACTCATGACAAGATCAAAACAATGAACGTTACTCATTATACCGCAATGCCGGAAAAAGAGAAAAACCAATAACGAAAAAGAGGAAGGAAAACAAAAAATAGATACACCGAAGGTCTTTCTATCCCCAAGCCAAGTGCAGTAGTAGATCACAAGATTATTCCCAGAGACTCCGACCCTGTATGCACAGAACACAGATCACTCTTGGAAAGACCTCAACCGGCTTGATGCTCAGCCATCAGGGCAGACAACGGAGGCGCGACACCGCTCCTCCAGCTCATCGCCTTTGCCGAACAACCACGCTGCTCTCTCTCTCTTCCAATTAATCCCGCTCACTCCACCTCCTGCTACTGGGTCTGCTGCGAAGCGCCTTTGGGCGTGGGCGGCACGACCTCACCAGCAATCAGGCTCTGCAGCTCCCACGGGCTGAGCGTGCTCCGCCGGCGGTTCGCAGCCTTGGCCGCCCTGCTGCGCACCTCGCGCTTCCGAGCGGCAGGCTTGGCCGGGCTAGCAGCTGCAGCTGACGCCTTGGTCGGTCCAGTCGCGCTCGCGTTCTTCCTGGGCGACGCCGATGGGGCCCCCTTCCGCGGCGACGGGACGACGGTCTTGCGGTCGTCGTCGCTGTCGTCTGGGCTGTGGTCGTTGTTGTTGTCGTTGTCCTCATCGTTGTTGACGTCGCTACCGAGCACCGACACCCCGCCCCGCTGCCCGTTCTCGTCCATGCTGTAGCTCGCCCCGCTGCCGCTCATGCCAGTTGTGGCCGACTCGGCGGACACGACGCGGTCCTTCTTGGTCGGGTCTCCTCCACTGACGTTGCTGCTGCCGCTCGGCACGCGCGAGCTCGCCACTGTGGACGTCGAGCCCCCAGATGGCGCGAGGCTCGTCGCGCTGCTGCTGCCGTTGCTGCCCTTGTTCAGGCGCGCCGCCCTCAGCTTGGCCCTTACGCGGGCGGCGTCGGCCTCGCGCTCTGAAGCTGCGAGCTTAGCGGCTATGCGGGCCATGGTCAGGGGCGACTGCTGCGGTGCCGGGGCTGCGTTCCGGGGGAGTGGCAGGCGGGAGCCGGATTTCCCTGGGGACCGGCTTGGTGACTCTGGGGCACGTTTGGCGGAGGATGACGACTCGGTAGGAGCTGGGGTATTGATGGGTGCGGGCTGCTGTTTCTCTCTTGGCGATGACTTCTTCTCGTCGTGCTGTGGTGGCGGGGGCCGTAAGGGCCTGTCGTTGATTGGAGTGGATTTGCTTGGTCGAGGCGGAGGAGGCATTTCCGCTCTGCTGCTGACTGGTGCTGGAGGGGCTCGTGCCTTGGTGCTCTCGTTCTTTGAAGCGGCGGATCGCGCAGATGAAGCATTCGTGGCAGCGATGGCTCTGGTGGACTTTTGCCGGGTGATTGTTCTCGTTGGGGTATCTTTCTTCTCCTGGGCCTGGGCAGCCCGAGTGGCTCTCGTGGAAGGCTTGCTCTGCGTTGGTGTATCTTTCTTAGCTGATGCATCAGACCGTGCAGACTTCACAATGGTCTTGTTCGAGGCTTTAGAGACTGAAGACTCGGGGGTGGCTTTCGCCTGGATATGGCTGTCCTGTGAGGTTGCGGGCTCAGTGAAGATGGCAGAGTTTGGCCGCGACCTGGGCTTGTCATTCTGTGCATCTGCGGAGACCTTCAGCCTCTTTTGCGGTGACTCGCCCTCCTTAACGCGATGAGGCGGTGGCGGCGGTGCCTTGGCACTGTCAGTAGCAGTCTCTCGCATGAGCTCTGACGACCGTTTCTTGGATTTCTCGGTCAGCCTCGCCGATGGTTTGCGGTTGCCAGATGTGATTGTTTCTTCGAGAGGTGTGATCCTTGGCGGTGGCGGGAGTGTCATGGAGTTGGTGTCGTCTGTTAGCCCGGTAGAGTGCTGCAGAATCTCAATGTTCGGCTCCGATGCTTGCAACTCGTCCATATCGATATCTTCAACGTCGTCTTGGAATATGCTTGATGCCGCATCGCTGTCGTCGACATTGTCTTGGCCTTCTTCGTATTCAGGCACCATGTCCTCATAGCCAGGAGCAGGAACCAGATGCAGTGATCCTTCACGGCTCAGAGCCTCTGCTGGCTTGAAGTCCATTTCGTCTCCTTCCTCTGCATATTCTTCCTCTTCGTCCTCTTCTTCGTCTCCCATCCTCTGCTCCTCCTCCTCCTCTTCTTCTTCCTCCTCTTCAAGAGTCGATAGCTGGAAGGGATCGTTCTGGCCAGTTTGCCCCATATTCTGAATCCGGACTGGGCTGAGACGCAGTCCCATCTTCAAGTCCTCCATGTCGACCGCAGGCCCGCCGGCAGCCATTCTACGGCGCCAGCTGTCGATGAGATGCACAGCATCCCTCCACCGGGTCTCCATCTTCTCCCAGCCATCACGCAGACGGAAGATCTCTTCCTCCCGGACGACGACCTCCTCGAGTGGCACAAACGATGGGTTGGTGAGCATGGTCCGAAGATGCTCGAGCACGCTGGACATGTCATTAGCCATGTCCTCGGGGCTCGTGACTAGCACAACCGCATTGCTATCCCCCTTCTTGCCAGCACCCTCCTGCTTGTCCCAGCCACTCATCTCCTTCAGGCTGTCGCCCGTCTTGCCGATCAGCGAGAGGAGGGCCTCGTTCTCCTCACTCAGGCCCTTGGCCAGCTGCGCCAGGAACCCGTTCGTCTCGTGGCGCAGGTTGTAGCCCTCATCCATGGTCGACGCTCCGACGTTGACGATCTCTGCGCCGACGTCGCCCGCTACGTGGATCGTCGTGATGCTGTTGCCCTTGCGCTCGCCCCTGGCGCGGCCGGCGTCCGTGACGGCCTTCTTTAGGCCGTCGATCTGCCTGTCCCGCTTGCGCACCTCGTTCGCGCAGGCGGCCCTCGTCTCGGCGACAAGCCTCTTCGCCCGAATGGCCTCGTCTTTCAGCTTCTGGACGGTCGTTTCGGCGGCCTTCAGCTGCGAGCGCAGGGCCGCTCCTTCGGCCTCGTGCAGGGCGACCTTCCGCTCTGCCTCTGTGTACTTTTCGTGCAGCCGCGAGAGGTTGTCGGATTGGCGGAGCGAGTCGGCGCGGACGGAGCGCAGGGTCGTGGAGAGGGCTTCGCGGTGCTCGGCGTCGCGCTTTGTCAGGTCAGCGGAGGGGTGGTGGTCTTAGGCTTGGAGAGTGGCATACATCGCGGCGCAAGATCAGGTCGTTCACCACGCCCATGATCCTTCCCATGGTGTCTGCGAGGTCATGCTCGTTGTAGCCCGGGTCTGCGAATTCGATGGGTCGGCCATCGCGTAGCAGTCCTCGACATAGCAGCTGGTTGTTAATGTACAGCGAGGCTGTTCGCAGGTTTTCGGAGTCTATCATGATGTCGTTGTGTTCCTGGCGGTCATTACGCCAGAGTCTATGGAATCTTTCGGGGCAAGGAGATCGAGGAGAGAGAATCGGGCGAAGTCTGAATAGTCGCGAGAGAGCAGGGCGGTAATCTTGAAGCTGGCGGCAGCAGGCGTGGGACAATAAGATGGTGATGGAACGATGCAGTGATCTGTTGTTTGGCGATGCTGGGAGCTTCGAACCCAAGCTGGCTCGCGATGATTGTCGCCTCACAATTGGGTGCAGATCAAGTCAGCACTACTGATACTTAGTCTAGATAGATACCGTAGGATGAAGAAAACGAGGAGTGTGCAGGCACGCAGACGTGTAGGTGTGGCCACCCTTGTTCGCGCCTGTCGAAACTCCACGGTCAGAGCAGAGGCCGGCGCACACACGCTTGTTTGGAATCGCGTGGGGCCAGCCCCGTTACTCGGGCAACACACACGTATCTCACCCGACAGCGCATGAATTTTCATTTCACATTCCCTGCGCGACTCGCTCCTTTGACCTTTTTACTGTTAGACTCTGCCACCGGAGAGATGCTCGTGGCATGTCGTTATTGGAATAGCATCCTGGTTCGTCACGCTGGTCGTGTTGGCCTGGGCCAGCTATCATGCTCGTCACATTGAGATGCCATCGCGCATCAGCAACAGGTTGGTGCCGTCGAGCAGTCTAGACAGAGACATCGGGTCAGCCTAGTCACGACCTCAATCAGTCTTGATAATGACCTGCGTGATATGCTCTCTACACATAGTTCAGACTGTAGTTGATTGTCTGGTACACAGATAGATAGTAGCATTGCTCTTGGTACGTTGAACACAATTCCCTCGAATACACACTCTCACAGCCAATTGAAGACCACACCACCTTTAAACTCACTTGACCCTCACAGACCTTCACTTCGCATGAATATCAACACGTTGCCGACGAGTCTGGCCAGGTCATGCTAACAAGAACATTTAGGCTCTGCTGTGTGACTTGTGCCCACGGGACTTGCTGCTGCCGATTTGTGTACTCCATCAGCGCAAAGATCCTTGGATTGCCTCTTGGCAATTATCTTGACCGAGCTGGTTGTCAGGTTAGGATTCGGAGCCTGCGATGGGGAGGGTGTCGCGAGGTAGCAATCATCACCACTCTGACTAGTGCCCGCAATCCTCGCCGAGACATTAGCAAACTGCATGTCTGAAAAGTTGGGGTTCGACCTCCACGTTTATATTCAAAATCATAATCGTGATGCTGTCAGCCGATGGCCAAGACCCTTCACTGTCTCCCAGGTTACTGGGCACCAGACTTGCATACGAGCAGGAGCTGCCTGTATGCCTCCAAGAGACGGAGCAAGTACGAGGAATGAAGATAGCGGATCGTCGCCCGCTTCAACAGAATACAACGGCGTGATCCTCCTCTAAACTACATATGTAAATTGAGTTGTGGCTGGTTGTTTCAAAGGTCCCGAGACCCCGCGTCATCCAGCCCAGCCGCCATAGCGAAGGTGGGGTTATAAGCTTCGAGACATCTCGACCGCTTCGACTGTCGTCTATGTGTCCTGTCCATCACTGATGATAAATGAGTAAAATCTTCTGAATATTTGCAATTGTCACCGTTCTTCTCACCATGACACTCGTCGATCTCTCCGTGGAGCCCAAGTCAAGCAACCCAGTCCAACCCGTGGACATCCGCTTTGAGCATCACCCTGATGGCTTCGGCATAGGAACCGACAAGCCACGCTTGTCATGGCGGCTTTCTGCTAGTGCTGTGCCTCAAAATTGGACACAGAAGAGTTATCAGGTCCAGGTCAAGAGACATACAGGGAAAACATCTGACCAGAAGCCACACATACAAAGCTGGCATGTCCCTTCTGACAGCTCTATCCTCAACAACTGGCCTGACAAACCTCTGCTATCCCGAGAGACCGCATCAGTGCGCATCTTGGCCACTGGCCACTCGCAACCTTCTGACCCGGGCTCCAGTGCAAATTCTGACCTGTCTGTATGGAGTGAGTGGCAGGATGTCGAAGCTGGGCTCCTGCAGAACTCGGACTGGACAGCCAAATTCGTCACCTCTAGCGAGCCACCCCCAGAGGACGGCGTTCCTCATCGCCCAACTCTGTACCGCAAAGAGTTCACTCTAGACTCCAAGGGCAAGCACACCCGTGCGAGGCTTTACATCTCTGCTCTTGGACTGTACGCAGCATCTATCAACGGCCGCCGCGTCGGCGACCTGCACATGGCCCCAGGGTGGACCAGCTACCACCATCGGCTGCAGTACCAGATCTTCGATGTGACAGAACTTCTCAAGGACGGCAAGAATGTGATCGGCGTAGAAGTGGCGGAGGGGTGGTACGCTGGCCGGCTGATTTGGATCCCAGGCCTGCGGAACCTGTACGGGGACAAGCCGGGCTTCATCGCGCAGCTCGAGACCCAGGACGAGAGCGGCACCTACGACTACTCGCCCCAGGTTGTGTCGGACGACTCGTGGGTCAGCCATCCTTCGCCCCGGCAGAGCGCCTCCATCTACGACGGAGAGGTCTACGACGCACGGGAGGAGCTCTCGGGCTGGGCCACCCCGGAGTTCAGCGCGGCTGATTCCTGGGACAAGACTCGCATTCTTGACGTTGACCTGGACAAGGTCAAGCTCTTATCCCCTGACGTGCCTCCCGTCAGGGTCACGCAGACTGTGGCGGCGGTCAACATCTTTACGAGCCCGAGCGGGAAGCTGCTAGTGGACTTCGGGCAAAACCTGGTAGGCAGGGTCAGGATCCAAGGGCTCCAGAAACCAAAAGGGCATGTTCTCCAGCTCAGGCACGCCGAGGTGCTCGAGAATGGAGAACTAGGCACCAGGCCCCTCCGCGACGCCAAGGCGACTGACAAGTATATATTCTCCGGCAACGAGAGGACAAAAGCGTCATGGAGCCCTGAATTCACCTTCCACGGCTTTCGCTACGCGGAGGTCACGGGTGTGTCGGCCGAGGAGCTGGCAAAAGAAAACCTGTCGGCGTTGGTGCTGCACTCGGACATGCGGCGCACGGGGCACTTCAGCTGCTCGCACGAGCTCATCACCAAGCTGCACGAGAACGTGGTCTGGGGCATGCGCGGCAACTTCCTGTCGGTGCCGACCGACTGCCCGCAGCGCGACGAGCGGCTGGGCTGGACGGGCGACCTGCAGGTGTTCTCGCCGACGGCGTCCTTCATCTACGACTGCGCGGGCCTGCTGGCCAACTGGCTGCGCGACCTGTCCGCCGACCAGGCGGACAACGGCGGCGTCGTCCCGTGCGTGATCCCGGACGTGCTGCGCGGCTACTCGGCCCAGGACTCGATGCCCGAGGCCGTCTGGGACGACGCCGCCGTGCTGGTCCCCTGGAACGTGTACAACTGGTCCGGCGACGCCGAGGTCCTGCGGCGGCAGTGGCCCAGCATGCGCACGCACGTGGACAAGAGCATAAACCGCGGCGCCGACGGCCTCTGGGACGAGAACAACTTCCAGTTCGGCGACTGGCTGGACCCGAACGCCCCCACGGAGCAGGCCGACTTCGCGCGCACCGACGGCACCATGGTCGCGGACGCCTACCTGGTGCACATCACCGACGTGATGGCGCAGATCGCCGTCGTGATAGGCGACGCCGAGAGCGCGCGGCGGTACCAGGGCGAGTATGAGGTTCTCAAGCGCAAATTTCAGGATAAGTACATCGCCCCGGGCGGGCTGGTGGTGGGTGACGCGCAGACGGCGCTGGCGCTGGCGATCCGGTTCGGGCTGCTGGAGGACAGCGCGGAGAAGAAGGCGGTGGCGGGGCGGCGGCTTGCACGGCTGGTGAACAAGGGTGGACAGCTGGTGTCGACGGGGTTCGCGGGCACGCCACTAATCCTACATGCGCTGGAGCAGAGCGGCAACCTCGACCTCGCGTACGGGATGCTGCACCAGGAGGCGTGTCCGTCGTTCCTGTACCCCGTCACCATGGGCGCGACAACCATCTGGGAGCGCTGGGACAGCATGCTGCCCGACGGCAGCATCAACCCGGGGAGCATGACCAGCTTCAATCACTACGCCCTCGGCAGCGTCGCCAACTTCCTGCACAGCGTCGTCGCCGGCATCAGCCCGCTCGAGCCCGGCTGGAAGACGTTCCAGGTGCGGCCCAGGCCCGGCGGGGAGCTTAGCTACGCCGAGATCAAGTATGACGGGCCGTATGGGACGATCGGCGTGCGGTGGGAGGTGGGCGAGTCTGAGGACGGGGCACAGGGCACGAAGGCGTTTCAGCTCAGGGTGGAGGTTCCGCCCAACTCGAGGGCGCTGCTGTTGTTGCCCGGGCAGACAGAGGACGACGGGGAGTGGGCCGGGAGTGGGATCCACGAGCGGGCCGGCCTGATCCAGGCGTAGTCTGGGCTGGGTGGTCTGGGCTGCCTACTTTCTGTCTGGTGATCCTCAGGAGAAGCAAGGCTGATGAGACGAGAGTGTCATGTGGCGGCTGGAGCTGTGGGACGGCGATGACCGAGAACATCTTTATGTGGTACTGATGGGTCTGTCTATAGACTGTTCGCACTGAGGACAAAGCACCTCGGATGGGCGGCAATATGGACTGTGTGTATAACTACTTATTACTATTATGTACAGTACTATTGCTGTGACATTCATTGGCTGTGACTATGGCTGCTATGACCATGCTGGGAACATAAGAATACCCGAATGTGACACCTCAAAAGATGACACGATCGAGCGGGTAGACAGGGACAGATTGACAGCGAACCACGACAGATGAATACGGTCCCCAGCCAACACCTGGGCCACATTGCATCGTGCATCGTGCATCGTGCATCGGTAGATGGGGGGGGGGGGCACACGACCCAAAACCCGGCAGCTTGGTCCTGAGCAGGGGGTGCAGGCGTGTCCTGCATGGCAGCATGGACGGGAGGTGGAGCCGGGCAAGCCCCCATGCATGTGTTATGTGTGAGAGGTGAGAGGTGAGAAGAGGTGTGAGAGGTGAGGTGAAACCTTGACGGGAGGGGGGCCCACAGAGAGCCACAGCACATCAATCAAAATGCCATCCATGAACCTTGACCACCTTCGGCCTGGGCGAACACCCTGACAAAACCCTGGAAACCCGAGCCTGGCCTGGGCCCGATCCGGGCGCTGGTCATTTCAGGATCGTCACTGAACGGGACTGGCCCTGGGATTTCTCATCTCAATCTCATCTCGTTTTCCGATTTCACCACCTCACCCAGCGCGCCCTTCCGTCACCAACATCCATCCAATACTCTCTGGCAGAAGCCCACCCCCATCTTGTCTCCCCACTCCCTGCCCGACTGATATGTTTGTTGTCTTGGCACCAAGGCATGGGGTCATGACTTTTGTGATATAGACTTTTTTTCGCCTCTCTCTCTTCATTTTCCTTTGCCTGATTTGTCTTAAATGAGATAGAGGGAGGAATATAGACAGAGGAAAGCAGCTCTCCCCGTCCTCCTCTTCTTGTCCGAACGCGACTGTCCGACCGACCATCCGTCCTTCCGTCCTTCAACAACTGGGCTCACCGCCGCCCTACCTCACTTTCTCTCTCTTTCTTCATCCTACCGCTCTCTACTAGCCTATACCTGTCGACCACGACCACGACATCATCATAATCTCGGCACCTCGGCATTTTCCGTACTTAGCAGCCTAAATTTTCCACTCTGCCAACTGACTCACATCAGTCGACATCTCGCCGTCAATAACAACGACAAAAAGACCAGCAATTGCTCGATTGTGGCTTTCACCCTAATTGTCTTTTTTTCTATCTAAATTTTTGTAATCAAGAACGATCGCCACTTTCAGGATGGCCTTGTCCAACATGACCAATGAGGAATGGGAGGAGCTTGCCCAGACAATCCCCAGCAAAGAAGATGCCTTCATCCAGAAGTACATGACAGGCCGCGAGGCCCTCATAGCAGAGGAGAAGAAACAACGGAGTGGTATGTAAATCACACGCATGCGTCCCGCCACTAGCCACTCGCCTCCCTTGCTTACCCCCACACCCAAACATCTATCCATCCTGCTTGACGAATCTAATCCCCCTCCCCCAGACCACTCATTCCGGCAGAACCTGTCGCCCATCGCGCAAAAGGCATGCCGGATCGTGGACAAGATCCGCGCCGAGGAGCAGCGCACGCTATGGACGCCCGAGTACGAGGACCGGCTGGCCGTGCGCGAGGGCTGCACCATGCACAACGGCATGATGTTCACGCTGGCCAAGGGCCTGATGGAGCGCACCAAGCTGTGGCGCATCGTGCGGCGCATGCCCAAGGGCTCCATCCTGCACGCACACCTCGATGCCATCGTCGACCTGGACTTTGTCTTTGACACCCTGCTGGAGGAACCCGGCATGCACATGTCCGCGCCCGACGCCCGCCTCGGCTCCCGCGCCGCGAGGGCCGACGCCGTTGTCAATTTCCGCTTCTTCAAGGAGGACAAGAACCCCGCCATGTCCATCTGGGATGATGCCTCGTACCGCCCGGGAGAGTTTGTCCCGCTGAAGAAGGCAGCCGAGACGTTCCCCGATGGCGGTCGCGATGGCTGGATCCGCTGGATGAAGAGCAAGACCACCATCTCCGAGACGGACGCCGTCGAGCAGCATCACGGTGTGGATCACGTGTGGAAGAAGTTCTCCAAGTGCTTTGTCATCATGGGGACGGTCATCCACTACGAGCCCATCTTTAGGAAGTTCCTGAGGCGCATGATGAAGCAGTACTACGAGGACGGGGTGTACTGGGGAGAAATAAGGTGGGTTGCCCCCTAGAATTTTCTACGTTTCATGCGTTACGCGCCTTGCATGCATGCTTACAACTACACAGGTTCACCTGGCCATTAAACTACTACCGGCTCGGCCAGGAAGTCCCCGAGTCCAACTACAGCCACATGTTCACCGTCATCGACGAGGAGATCAAGGCGTTCCAGGCGTCACCCGAGGGCAAGGGGTTCTGGGGCCTGCGCATGATCTGGACGTCGCTGCGGATTTGGGATCAGAAGTCGATCGTGCAGAACATGGACCACGCCATCACAACCAAGCTCGAGTTCCCGCACCTGCTGTCCGGGTTTGACCTGGTGGGACAGGAGGACCTGGGCCGCCCACTGACGGACGTGCTGCCAGAGCTATTCTGGTTCCGCAAGCAGCTGGCCGAGGAGGGGCTCCCGGAGGGTGCCATGCCCTTCTTCTTCCACGCGGGCGAGACGCTGGGCGACGGCACGGCCACGGACCAGAACCTCTTCGACGCCGTGCTGCTGGGCACGCGCCGCATCGGCCACGGCTTCAGCCTGTACAAGCACCCGCTGCTGACGGACCTCGTCAAGGAGAAGCGCATCCTGATCGAGTCGTGCCCCATCTCCAACGAGGTCCTGCGCCTCTGCGGCAGCATCATGAGCCACCCGCTGCCGGCGCTGCTGGCCCGGGGGGTCCCCTGCGCCCTCAGCAACGACGACCCCGCCATGCTCGGCCAGGACACGGCCGGCATGACCCACGACTTCTGGCAGGCCCTGCAGGGCTGGGAGAACCTCGGCCTCGCCGGGCTGGGCAGCCTCGCCGAGAACTCGGTGCGCTGGAGCTGCTTTGAGGACCAGACGCCTGACGAGTGGGCCCGCGACGTCAAGGAGGCCAGCCTTGGCTCCGGCGTCAAGGCCCAGAGGCTCAAGGAGTGGGAGGTGTTGTGGGAGAAGTTCTGCCTGTGGGTGTGTGAGGAGTATGGGGACGAGTACGAGGAGTAGGTGAAGATGTGGATGGGACAGAAGGGGCAAGAGGAAGACGAACCGAGCCGAGGCCGACGTCTCGACTGGGAGATGGATGAAGCCTTGGAGATACCCTCTGAGAAGGCCGCGTGGGGCCTGCAGATGGTCTGGAAAGGACGACGTGATCGCGAAATGCGACTCGCCAGGTCGCAACCTCCCCACGACCGGTCTGACTCTTCGTGAGATGGAGAGATAAGTGGTCACTGCGCCCTTCATGGGGACCCTCAGCTCGTCTGTCAATGACTAGACGGGGAAGGAGTTTGCATATACAGCATGACCGGGACTCCGACGCGGATGATAAGGGGGTGTGGGGAGGATGGTGAAAGAGGGTCCAGCGCCGACTCGGATATCGTGGCACCGTATGATGACAAGTGTGCATGGAAGGACGGATGGGTTACATTCAACATTGTTTTGGGAAGTCATGTCAGGGCTGACGTTTGCCGACGATGCAACGCAGACAGGAATCAGGGCAGCACAGCATTAATGGGGCTTTTCAGGCGTCTCTCGGTCCCCACGGGTTGGATGGGTGCTTGCTCGCACAGGCATGAGATACACAAAAAGCCAAGGCTGGGTGGGAGGTTTTTTGATTAGATGGACCAGGCTCAACCCCGATGTCAGACATGCATACGTACATATACACATAGATAGAGGGACCCCGGCAACGCTGGAAGGGAATGGGAGGGGGTGGAAAGGGAAACACTGATACACCATCTTTTAATAGCAGATACCATTGACTCGAGAATCTTCAGGCAGCATGTGCATGTGGCCTCTTGGGCAGCATTGTGATGTATCGCCTCGCACGGCGCGCTTCTCTCAACTCACGTCCCGACTTGCCGGGTGACACTGTTGCTTGAGCAACAACGCTGTGCTGCGCACAAGACAGTCCGAGCGAGGAGGGTATCATCAAAAGATGGTTAGAGCCGTCAGCCAACGCGTCGCCGGCCCCATGTCTTCCCGCGCGGCATGTGGTCTGCCTCGAGGGAATAAGTCTCCTGCCAAGAGCACTGCAACCACGGGCAGGCAGTATGGGCAGACGTCAATGGATCCCCCGAAAGTCAAAATCGTCCTGTCTTACATCCAGTACGACGTCGTGTCCCAGCGTGCCGGGGATGGTTTGTCAGTTCGTTGTCATCTGCACGCTTGCTGCAGGCAGGCAAGGCAAGGGCATGGCAGACCGGCAGCTCGGCAGCGGGACCGCGTGTTTCTGAGGTAGGATCTGTGGGCTTGCCTTACATACGTACGTACGTACAGTTTACAGAAGGAAAGAGTAGCGAGCCTGCATGCTGCAGCTTTCCCATGTGTCACCCTCCACAGGACTCAAAGTTTGGTCTGGCTTTGGTCGGTGGAAGACGTGATTGGCTCGCAAATCACCAAATGGGATGAGATCCTCCTCCCCATTTTCCCGACTTTGAAAATATCGAGGACGCATTCTGATTCGCTGATTCGTGCCACTTCCTCATACGAGGGGCTGAGCGCTCCTCATCGGAGGGATGCAACGGTCCCTCTTCGAGACACATATGCCCAGAAGTAGTAAGAGGAAACGTGGATATCCTTCGTCGGGATCACTCCTTCGCCCGGGAAGGATGCCTGCCGTCTTGACGCACACGCGCCCTGGCCACGTCTTCTGGCTGAGGCCGCTGCCACGAGGTCTTGGGAACCCCTGGATCGAAGGAGTGGTGGTTTCTGTAGGCGAAGCTCGTGGGGGCTTGGGGGGCCGGGGATTTCGCGGACCTGCATTGCATGTACGCGAGCTTGTGGGAGTCTTGATGGGCCGGCAAGGTCGGCGCCTAATCAGACGAACACCGATCGATCCTGTGCTGCAGGAGCGTGGGCGCTGTGCTGCATCAGACCTGAAATAGAGAGCAGCAGGATGGTTACGCATGGCCCGCGCCGAAAATTTGGTGATCAGTACTGATTACTGCACACACTTGGACAAATAACCGGTCCTGCTCGTTCCAAAGAAACGTGTCATAGTCGAGATCAAATGCAAAGTTCCCATTCTAATCATTCTCATCTTCCTTTTCTAGGAATGTTGCATGTTTTTTATTTTTATTTTATTTTTTAAGGCGCGCATTACAAGACTCACCTAAAAGTGCCATTCAAAATCGATATTTCGACGAGTATAGCTGAGTGCTATTACAAGTCAGGCTGAGTTAATGGGAGAATCACATTTGCGGGCGCAACGACGAGTCTGGTACAGCATAAGGGCGACATCCTGCAGCGATCTATTGCCTTGTCATACCCAAATATATTCATCACGGACGCACGCACTACTTCCCCCGCCTCAGGGTGTTGAAGGACCGATACATGCGCTCCTCCTGCAGAGGCGTAAACTCGGTGATACTGGGGGGTAGTTAGCATACGTTTGTCTATATTGACACGAGCAAGTAAGGTATAGAACGGGACGGATCACCGATCGCAAAACATACCAATCATGGCTAGCATAGTCCATATAATTATGAATGGGATCCAACCCCGGCTGGTCAGGGCACGAGTCCTGGCTCGTAGGACACCCAACAGTAGCGACTTGTGTGGCTGGCGTGTCATCGACAAATTCGCCGTCCCCGGCGCAGTCGAAGCCGTCAAAGACGTGGAACAGCCCCAGCCAGTGGCCGACCTCGTGCGTGGCCGTCTTGCCCTTGTTGTCGGCGGGCTCCCACGGCACCCCCGGCCCGCCGGGCATCGTGCCGGGGCTCACGAAGCACCCGTCGTAGATGGCCCACGATGTGCCGTTGATGCCCGTGCCGGCCGGGTCCTCGACCGGGAAGCTGCACAGCCCCGTCGCCGACCCGGCGTTGGTCATCAGCCCCGTGTCCAGGTACAGGTTCAGCGCGTCGTACCCGCCCCGCCGCAGCGCCAGCGCCTTCTCCCTGATGCGCGCCTGCGCCGTCCACGCGTCGTTGACTGTGTGCGAGACATTCGCTACTGTAAATTGGATATTGTGCGGCGCGTATGTCTCGTTGAGTACTGTCATCTATGCGTATGAACCATCACTGGTCAGTTTACATAAGAGGCAATCTGGAGAGAAGCCGCCCGGGAGCGATGGCGTCGGTCCATACCTGGTCGTCTATCATCTTGTCCGTCACGAAGCCCGCGTGCTGCTGGTCCTCGACGACGTGCACGTACGTCGTGATGAGCAACCCCTCGTCACGCCTCTGCAGCGCGGCGCGGGACGGCGTGCCCTCGGCCCGCTGGGCGTCACGGAGCTTCGCGGCAGCCTGGAGCGCTTCCGGCTCCGGCTCGCTCGATCCGCATTTCTCGTTCGCGGCCGCCTGCGACACGAAGGCCAGGCAGGCAGAGTTGACAAGCAGCGCTCCGAGCTTCATGGTGTCGCAGTGTCGAAGCTGGAGTGGTTTCCACGGCGGCTTTGCATGGCAGACGAGGTGGGCGCGCGCGGGCGGGCTCTAATATTGAGTCCGGCGAGCCTCAGTCGCTCCGCATCTTTGTGGTCGAAAGGGGAAGGTGACGGTGGCGATGGGTTTATGCCCGTCTGGTGGTTCGGGCCAAGAGTTACAAAGGTTGGCAGGCCGGGTAACCAAGCCCAATGTGGATATGCGAACCACCCCTGCCGATTCTCCCGGGAAGGTTGACGTGTGTGCAATACGACCTTCGTGGAGTTGAGTGGTTCGTCTCCGAGATTCGAATACGATGGGTCGATCGCACACGACTGAATGATGGGGTGAGCGGGTGGATTGGAAATGTGAACACCTAGTTTAGTACTGCGCGTATTGATCCGGGACACAGGAAGAGAACAAACAGTATCCATTACAAGTGTCCCGTAATAATAATAATGTTAATAGTACATACTTTTCGCATGCCATGCCAGGCCATTCCCATGCTTTCCAACGCTATGCAGTTGCCGTCCGAAATAACTCACACAATACCCAGAAGGTTAGAGAGAGGGAGATAAAGAGCCCCCAATGCCCCCGTTCAGTCTATTTCCATTAGGGTTGTTTGAAACTCGGGCTGAACCTGAGGCTGAGGTTGCCCCCACGTCCGCCTCAGCCAGTCTGCGAATCTCTCGGGCACGACATTCACGCCGGGGTTCTCATTGATGATTTCATTCAGGTTCGGTCGTCCGAGGTTGTATCGTCCGTCTGCTGTTGCCAGCAGCTGCTGGAAGTAGAACCAGCGGCGCCAGTCGTTCGTGTTCATGGAGTAATTGAGGTGCGCTTGGATCTCGCTATACTCGCGGATGATCAGGTCGAAGGGAACTGTGATTTCCGGTCAATTCAGTTACTCCAGGTACATTTGGCAGTGGCGAGAACGGTCGCTCACCTCCACGCGCGCTCATAGCCGCGCCGACGATGTCCCGCACGCTCAGCTGGTCCCCTCGCATCCGCAGCTCCCGTGGCCAGTGCTCCGGCCCGATCTCGACGGCGGCAGCCACGAAGCGCGCCACGTCGTAGACGGAGGTCATGGACACCTGCACCGCGGCGCCCTGGGCGTTGCGCTCGACGATCTCGGCCGTTGCGGCGCCGATGTCTATGAGGAAGTCGCCCTGGGCGGCGATGTTCTGGCCCAGCCCGATGTTGAAGATGCCGAGCCCGCCCGGGGACAGCCTCTCGTACAGCACGCCGCACGAGAAGACGGTGAAGCTCATGGCGGGCCCAGCGCCGGGCGGCTGCGGCTGCGACAGCTCCCTGAGCATGCTCAGCGCCTGCGCGGAGCCGCGGTCGAGAGGGTCGTTGGACGCTGTCGGGCGCCGTGCGAGGGCGCCCTCGAACTCGGAGGGCACAAAGGTGCGGACACGCGCGCGGTGCGCCGCGTCGATGAGGTGCAGCTGTGACTGCTCTGAGATGGTTGATATGACGAGGTCGACGCCTCGCAGCTGGTAGCGGAGCTCCTCGACGTTGGTGAAGTCAACCACTGCCACCTGAGCCCCTAGGGCCTCGAATTCCGGGTGTTGCTTGGGGCGGGTGTCAGCACGATTATACGACGGGGGTAAAGGCAAGGCTGAGGGTGAAAGAATTTTCAGGCATGTTGGTGCTGCTGTTGCTGCTTACCCTGTTGGAAAGAACAAGCAAGGCATTGGCGGTCTGGGCTATCTCGCCGGCTAGAATGTAGGCAAAGCCGCCTCCGCCGGCGATTGCTATTCTCATCATGTTTGTGTGTTATGTCAACGCCGGCTCGCTCACCCCCATTTTGCCCGGGATCCAGAAGAAGCCTTGTTAATAAGAATCAGCCTCTATCCTTGGTGAGGCTCCGCCCTCCCGCGTTTGCCTCCCACGGTGCCTAGAATGGGGTTTTGTTTGAGAAATGAATGGGGCAGACGTCAACCCAGTGGCACGGGGTGAGCGAATGGTGTCCACGGAGAGAGCCTGCTCGGGAAGAGACCATCCATGTGCAGGAAAAGTGATCTGCCTGAGTCAGGGGTTGCGTACGCCGTGACTGGCTGGACCGAGGGATGGAGGCCAGTGGCCGGTGTGGTCGTAGGGGGAAATTTGGTACCCTCCCCCAGGCGTGGTGGGAGCGTGCCGTGGGTGGGTGTGGGTGACAAGAAAGGTCGCGGCTGCTGGTTGTCTTGGTATTCAGCACTAGAAACAGGAACTCCATGTGCACCTCATGCAAGGACCCCCGGGATATCTGACTACCTCCGGTACATATATGTATGTACTCCGTGCTCAGACTCAGACAGGGGGCCACGGGCGACATGGCAGCTGCAGCATGATGGACACGAGCTGGCGCAGTAGCTGCAGCTGCAGCTTTAAGAAGCACGTAAAAGGCTCATGAGGGATCACGGCCTTCGACACTCGCACAGCTGGGCCCCGTAGGGCTGAGAGTAGCCCACCGGGCAGTGGTAGGCTTGCAGGTTCCCGCATCGCGCCCGCATGTCTCGGCAGTATGCAAGGACCCCATACACGGCCTCGCTCGAACGTTTCCCGTGCTCAAGTGGTCTCTGCGTTCCGGCCTGTGCCCATCGCGGGGACCCCCGCAGGGGCCTTGGTCAAAGCAGGTCCACGCAAGTCGAGCCGATAAGGTGCTTGGGTTCCCTCGGACTGTGTCCTGGTGCCTGAGGGCCTGGGGAAGCAGCCTGACAAGGACACCAAACCCCCATTCAGGCTGTCTGCCAACGGACGTCACTCGGTCGTAGGAGACCCCGGGAGTAAGCAACGTAAGCAAGGGCACCCTCCTCATCCACCTCGGTATCCCATCAGCGTATCCACTGGGTCGCACGAGGCAGCAGAGACGGGGAGGGGGGGAGTGAGACGTGGGGTAGGGAAAAGACAGGCGAGCCGTCTGATGGTTCCGTATACAGCTAGGCCACGCGGAGGGGGCAGGGGACAGAAAGGAACTAGGCAGGGTACGAATGTGAGTATCTGATTGTGATGTTGCAGGGCAGGAGTTGTGAGGAATGCTGCTTGGCAAGTATTTGTCTTATCTGCGTCCTCGCATGCATGCGAGTAGCGATCCAGCTTTGCCCCGGCGCCACGGAGCTGCATAGGAATCAGGTGCTGGATGACGGAATTCCGGCGTATAGAGGATGATGGAGGAACAATGATGGAAGCCGATAGGATGCGGAAACGATCGATTCAAAGCTGGAAGGGCAGAGTCACATCGTGTGGACGGTTCCCCGTTGAGCCGGTTCGGTCCTCATCACCCGGTTGGTGTGTTTATGTGCGAGTGTGGGTGGGGAGGGGGGAACGGGGGAGGGGGTTTTACAGAGCGCATTGCTCTTCTTCCCAACAAGGTTTCGATCGGGGAGGGGACCAAACACAAGAGAGGCACGGCAGCTGAGAAAAAAACTCGTCTTTCCTTGCTGCCGTGTTTTGAAAGTTTCGAGCGTTGTCACTGACGAGGCTCTGTTCTCGCGTCATTGGAGGGCCCGGATGCTGCCCTGCCAGCCTGCATGCAGCAGTCCAGGCTTCCTTACCACCGGTTCAGCCCTAATCTTCCAAAAAGTGTCAGGATGCAACCTTGATCTGCTGGGATCCCGAGCTTCCAGCAAGTTTGGGGGCCGTACAGGGGCCAATGAGCCTTAGATTGCGGACAACTGGATGATGGAGCGTCCGAAGCGAGGTTGAAGTCATCTCAAAGTCCCCGCCTTCGTCTGAAGTCAGGAGGCAGGGGACAGGGGATGAGAGCAAGTGTGGCTTATCACAGTGCTAGTCTTGGAATATTCAGAACGCTTACTGTGTTCGTGTGGCATTGCTGTGGCGTCGGCTCAATCCAAAATACGTTGAATATTGAACATCAACTGGATGAGTCGCGTCAAATACACCCAAACCCAGCAAGATCGTTTGCAACATATTTGTCAAAATATGGCGTCGATCCAATGACCTTAGTGTGGCCTTTTTTTTTCCAATTCATTTGGTGCTTTACGATTGGGAACGGCCTTGATTCGGAACAGTTCTCTGGGCGTGGGATTGCGTGGGCTTCTGCAGGTTCCGAACGTGAAAAGGATCGAACCCGCATGAGGTGATGACTGAGACGGCGATCCTCAGCCCTACGACGGGAAGCAAGGGTGCAGATCCCATCGCCCCGTGTACAGACACGGCCGGTGGCCTGTTCTAAGGTTATTTATGCTACAGTTCCACACAGGTCTTAAAAGTCCTCGTCCGCGTCAGGCTTTCACCGGTATTGACGGCGATGGCGAGCAGACACAAAGCCGATGCAGAGCTGGCGCGTCGTCGTCGCAGCCATTTCAAAACTGCCTCATGCTCCTGTCTCACCTGCCTGCGGTGCGCTTTGTCAGCCACATGGCGGCTCCAATCGCCCACACCGCGATGGTGGATTATGTGAGACCCCAGCCATCACTCCGAACAATGTCGGAACCGGTCGTCTGGAGCTAGGATCAGGACACACTCTGCCACCATCGTCATTTGATTATCATTATCAATACTAGAATGGATTCATTCTCATATTTCGACGCCAGTAACTGTTGATTGAGGCTCGAGTGGTAGTGAGTCGAATTATGGTTCCGGTGATGCGGATGACGGTCCGGTGTTGCGCGATGCTAGAGTTTTCAGCATGTCATCCGTCGCCTCGATGCAAACAATCCTTGTACTACACGCATGCAAGGCTCCAAAGCTGTCTGACGGAATTGTCTTCAATTGCTCACTCATGTTCTAATTCAAACTGACCTTCCCGTCCTTCTTACTGTGCTTTTCTGACACCTCCGACTGACCACGGCTGTTCCCCCAAGATATCAAACACAGCAATGACAACATCACAATCCTTCCTTATCCAGTTTCGCGGCTCCACTGCCACCAATGTGTCGATGCCATAACTCGACACAAGCCTGTCCGAGCTCACGTCATCTGTCTTGAGACCCAAAATGCGGGCCAACCTGGACTTGATCGCGTCCATGATAGCGTCACACCTTTCGTCGAACGACGTCGCTGCGTGGATGCGAGCTGCAGAGCTCCGCCTCTGCGACTCTGAATCAACAACCCAAGGGCCGAGATCACCCCCTTTCTGGAGCTTTCTTGGACGCTTCCAAAGGGGGATGTCTCATCGAGGGCGGGATTATCTCGCTATGTTGGCTGAGGTCCGCAGTAGTCATCGTTCCGACGAGCATTTGGCTGCAGCTGGGGCAGAGGCTAGATGAATCAGGTGGAGGCCCAGGTATGGTTTCTTTCCGCGTGGCTGGGTTGCAGGAGTGGTCCAGCACTGCGATCAGATCCGCAGTCCGGACTCCTGCCAATATCCTGGGCATCTCACCACGTCCGCCGGTAGTCTTTGCGCTCAGTGAAGATGCCTGCATCGAGTAGCCAGCTGAGATGTCCTGGTACGCTCTGGCCCCGGTGCGGGCTCTGGACAACGCATCACGAGACGTCGAGATTTGGTATTGCTAAGCAAAGATGTAAATGACCCAATCTTGCCATGAGGTTCAAGGCGGCTTGGGATGAGGCACCGGAAACGTGAGGCAACGAGCGGGTTTCTCACGCCATATTCTATCATGTACTTGATCATGACATGGCCTAGGCTTCCAAATTCACTACTAATGACGTAGGCTGTGTCGACACCGAAGTGCCAGGTGCTTCTATAGATGAGATGTCTCTGTATCACACGTCAGTCCTAGATAGATCCTGTGATACCGGAGTCGAAAGATTTAGGGATCTGTTTGCTCACAGTTGCTTGGGTCCTGGTGATAACAATCAAACCAGGATTTCTTTTCGCTCTGCATGAAACTGAAAGCTTTCTCAGCCATGCAAGCGGATACAAGTGCAAAGGCCCGAGCCCTGGTAGTGAGCACCATCTTCTTGATGAAAACCTCATTTGCCAGATTGATGTTAGTCTTCACAGTCAGTATTAGATCCGCAGCCGCGGAGGTGACATTTCTGGCAAATATGTCAGTAAGAAGCAGCTAGTTGGCCATGATGCCTGCTTTGTCGATGTCAAAAAGCTTCCAAAAGACGCAATACATCCTTAGCTTGCCTTGGAGGATTTACCCTGCAGGTGAGTTTACTATCACATTGGCTCCATATAAGTCTGTCACGCGTGCGATGCCTCGTGCGAAGGATGTGTCGCGGCTGTGGAGGATGTGATCTTCGAGTATGTCCAGTAATTTGACGAGGTAATGCTTCTTTTCGTCTGCGAACTGTCGCGAAGCTTCTACTTTGCGATTAGACTCAAATAGAAAAACGAGAAGTCCACGATGGCAGAGACGGTAGTCATAAAAAGGGATCAGGCAGAAAATTATTCTTGACAGCTATTCCGACCGTCATTTTTCCGGTTGCACCAGCCGCCGAAAGACTTGAGCTGGATCATATGATATTCATCCCCCCTCCCCCCCGAGAAATCGCGAACGCAGCGGTGTGGTTGGGGCATAGCTGAAGCTGGCTATGATGATACGTCGAAGAACAGGTATAGGCATTGCCATTGTAGACAGGCTCCTTTCGACCATGTTCATTTATAGTCTATGCATATCAGGGGCTCACAACCGCTCCGTCGTAGCGAGCTGATCGTACCATAATTGCTATAAATCCATCTAGCCCCTTAGACGTAAAGAGGAAGTTCGGCATAAGATATTTATCTGCCATGGTTGAGGAGATAATATAACAACCAGATTCAGATACAAGAACAATGTCAATTGACTCGTTTCAGATTTGGACGAGAGACAAGAGCTCCCGACGTCCCAGAAATATAGCTTCAGACAGCCCTATTGCCGACCCAGTATTCCCACGGTGAGTTTGCAAATTCCCCAGTAGCTGTGATACAGTGACATTTAGCTCAATATCTACCTAATGAATTCTGTAATATCGATTTTGCTTGCGAATGGCGATCGCCTACAAAAATTCCAGCCTGACGGGAGTGCCGAGTCGTCCTAGAAGCCCGTATTCAGTGCCATGGTACCAAAAAGTAAAAAAATTCTCCGATCGAATAGACGCTGTATGGTACAGAGTCTGACAAGAGTGAGACATGGTCATCAGCCTCAGTGAGCCGCAGCCAACGGAACTTGTTTTTCGCGACTCTGTTTCGCACTAAGCGGGTTGAGTTCGAATTCAGCCGCATTCGCCTTGCAGCTATTTCACGCAGTGTATCGGAACAAAAGTCCTTCCCGACCTACAAATGCACGGAAATTCATCAGGGCCACATCCGCTGGTACCAACTTCAATTCCTCTCTGTCTCGCCTAAGGAGGTGACCGACGCGATGGCACAAAACAGGCAGCTCTACACGACTCTCTCTATCCCGCTTCGAGAAATCCGCTTGCTCCAAATACTGCCGGACTCGGATCCGAATAGCCTTCAGTGCGAGCTGAGTGTTCACCGCCTCGATGAGTCCGAAGTGGTCCACTACACTGCTCTTTCTTACTTCTGGGGACAGGAAGACCCAGCAGGACGTTGCAAAATCGTTTTGAATGGTCACATCAAATCCGTCACCCCGAACTTGCTGCTGGCCCTGCAGTCGTTTCACGAACTCGGCGATGCTGGCTACCTGTGGGCTGACGCTATCTGCATTCAGCAGTCTGACTCGAAGGAGAAAATGAGCCAATTATCAATTATGGGCGAGATCTACGCGAGGGCCACCAAGACCGTGATCTGGCTGGGACCGAAGGAGGAGGATAGCGATCGAGCAATGGACCTGGTAGCCAATTTACGCCAGGGTGATCTCGCAGTTCCTCAGTTCGACACAGAGATGACGCGGGGCCTACTTGCGGTCACAAAGCTGCTACACCGACCGTGGTGGAAGAGGATGTGGGTAGTGCAGGAAGCCTTTCTGTCCCAAAACCCTATCGCGCGGTGTGGAACAAGAGAGGTTCCTTTCCCGCGGTTTGTCTTCCTGAAGAAGCAATCTGACGAAGCCTACTGGTCGATGCAGGTAAAATGGCGCGGCATTACCTTATTCGAGCGCGTGCCTTTCACATCGTGTCTGTCCAACTGGGACGTCACCAGGGCGGAGCTGAAATCGACGTGGAGGTCCTCTTTGTTCTCGTGGATCATATCCATGAGCGACAAGTTCGAAGCGACTGAACTGCGTGACAAAGTCTTTGCTCTTTTGGGCTTGGTATGCGAGGAAGACCGCGCAGTTATTCGTCCATGTACTGAAGATGAAAAACCGTTGCAAGAGATCCTGATCGACGTTGTACTACAAAGTGTGCGGTCAGAGGGACTGATGTTTCTGAGCGTCGTCGAGCCCGAGGATATGAGGCCTTTCAACCTTGAGCTTCCATCCTGGACACCATATTTATTGGGTGGACAAAGCACGCAAAACTTGATTGGATATAAGCCACGTTTCGGGGCGAATTCGGATGCAAATCACGACGCATGGGAAAAGCTATTCCTAGCTTCCGAGCTTCTCTTGTTCGATTCAGAGTCCGAATTCAGCCAGGATAGAGACGCCAAGCTTATTTTTCTGGGAGGTTGTGCGGTAGATGAGGTGACTTACACGGATCCTATGCCCCGTGTCATGGAATACCGTGGCCCAGACGATCTCGTGGCTGCAAAACGCAAGGCGGAACGGGTGCGAGCGACCATCGACACCATCCAAAAATGGGAACTGGTAGCCCTCGAACCGTCGATCTTCCCTGCGGATGCGCGTGATGACGCGCATGGGGGGCGTGAAGAAGCCTTTTGGAGGACTCTGGCCTGCGATGGGTCGGCGACTCGAGTTAGGCCCCTGCCACTTGATTGCGGACATCGATTTAAGGCGTTCATGGGTAGGTGTCCACCGCCTGGACGAGACGTCCTTATAAATGAAACTCTCCAGGACGATTGGGTCAGAGAGTACGCGGTCCCCGTGGTCGCGAAAACTATGCACAGGTCTTTCATTCTGACGCGTGAAGGGCGCATGGGGCTTGCCGTTCAGGGTGTCGCAGTGGGTGACTTGATAATTATAGCCAAGAGATGCAACGTGCCGTTGATCATACGTCGGCGGCCAGATCGAGGCTTCAAATTCATCGGTGACGCATATGTCCACGGCATCATGGATGGACAGGCTGTCACTCAAGCAGCTAAGCAGGGGCTTGGGATGGAGCTGTTCTGTTTGAAATGAAAGATCTAGACTGTATTACTGAACAAACGTGTCTGTCAGTGCGAGGAAGTATCTTGGTTCTGCGAAACCCCCATATTTTGGTGCAGGCATTTACGTAGAATCTTCAATGCAGAATGCTGTTTTGATTATGACGACACGAGTATACGGCACCTGGACTGAGTCATAACAAAGACCGAGGCTGAAGTACGACAGATGACGTGAAGTGCAATGCTGTCTGAAAATCGACTAGATGGATCCACCAAGGTTGGTTCACTGCCTGGAAGGAATGATGCAATTCTACTACCTGATAACTGAAAAGGGAGATTAGACAGGCATGGGTGCGTCAAAGGCTGCATATATGCCATAAACGCACACAAAGAGATGATTATTCCATTATATATTACATTTAGCCATTAGCTCACTTCGATTGTGCCTAGAAAGACAGATATCGTCGTGGATGTCGCGTACAATATCAAGCCTAGTTCATTCGTGCCAATGTTCTCCCTGCACGTGCGGGACAGTATGTCCCTGGGCCCGATTGGCAATGACTTGTCTGGCCGATGTACCCTCGAACCACTTCATCCTTCGTTGGCGACCCCTAGAACAGAATGGATGGCATGTGTGCAATGATCTAGTGCGGATCCTTCTCCCCATCCTTTCTGAGTGCTCGCACCTTAACTTGCTGCTGTGAAAGACACTCTGGCTTTGTTAACAATCATCGATACAGCTAATAGGACAAGATACTTCTAGAGCTGATCATGCTCACCTGTTCAGCCTTGGGAAAGGTGATTGAGATTGTTGGGCTCGCATACGGATCCGCCTGTCAGAACCCGGCAGCTGCTCAGCCGCTCGACTCAGGCAAAGGAACCTAGCATTGTTTGCTTGTGCCAGAGCGAGACTAGAGCAACTCAATAATTATTCCGGCGTAGATTCTACGCAGAGGCTGCGGGTTCTCTGCTCTCGCAACTCTCACGATGCGAAGCCCAACAGAAGTAAGCACTTCGGCAGAACCCTGAAGGCTATGTTTCTCTAAATTCGAGAGACCGCGCAGGTAGTGTTGCACATGGATAGCTGTCTTGGGACAGGAAGCCAATTCATATTGAATCCGTTTCTCATCCTGCTCTGAAGGAACTAGAAGTTGAAGGGTGGCAGTGATGGCGGATAGGCCGGTGAAGCCGAAGGTTTGTCCGGATGAACGTCTTGGTAGACTTCGAGAAAGCTCTTTACATCTATACATCACGCATCAGCACATACGAGATTCGAATCGGAACCGATGCTAGGATCAACGTACCTTTCGCATTCTCGAATGACAGGGACAATTTGGTGGAGCCATCTGTCCTCCAGATATCTAGTACCTTCTTATCTTTCGTCTGCGTTACGGTACGATCATACAGCTTCATATCCAGCTCTATTTGCCTGCTCTCTGTACGGTCGTGGAAGCCCATCGTGACCAGCGGCCTGGGAGGGTTGGCACCCTCGTACTTCCTCCAGATACGGAGCACCTTCGCCCTGGCTCGCGTCTCCACACCGCGACGGATCTCGCGGGGCAGGAACGTCTCGATGAGCTCGCGCTCGCGCACTTTGGAGATGAAGCTTTTGCAGTTGGTAGAGCTGCCGAAGACGTATGTGGGGTCCAGGCAGTAGATGCGGAACCCGTCTCGGTCTTCGACTGTGATCTCGTGCTGCGCGAGGAAGTTGACCCTCCGCGCCCGCACCTCGCCATCTGCGTTCGGCTTGGTGCCGAATGGGATCCGGTGAGTGACGATGACTTGCTTGTCGCTACTCTCGTATTGGAGGATGCGGGACGAGTTATCCCTTTCCAGGATATTCACGTGCTGCAGGGCGATCCTGGGCCCGTCTTCTCCTAGAAATAGTGTGGCCGGGAGGTCGATGAACTCCAGAGAACCCCTGCGACTAATAGTAGGGGTGAGTGCAGGCTCTGGCAGGAGTGCATATGGTGGAAGGCTAGGTGTCCGCCCTGGTTGGCTTTGTTGACTGCCATGTGAACTAGGGGTGGGAGGAAAATCCACGCGGTACAATAGTAGTCTTGTGTACATCCGTGTGAGGTCTTCGTTGATGATACGGATTTCGTTCTCGAGACTCGCTGGCCATGTAAAGGTTAGGCCACGGGAGGTTCTCAGGCTTGGGTCGTGCTCCTCGAGCAAGTTCCTGCACTTTTCCACCAGTCGCACCACCCTCTCCACATCTGGATGGTCCTCTCCGATTCGAAGTCTCAGGTGGGAGAGCTCTTGGAGGACATCTCGAAGTCTGATAAGTTGTCCTCCTTGATGCCGAGAGCGGCGCAAGTTGCCTGCGAGATCAGCCACGAATGAGCCCAGCTGCACAATCCCCGCCACAAGCCCGAAAGCCGTGACGGGATCCATCGGTGGTGGAGGAGATGTGGGCTCTTGGATGTCACCCAAGCTTCATCTGATGTATCAAAAACGCATGCATCTCTTCATGCTTGCGGGTTCATGGTTCCAGGATGTTCCGGTTAACATGGACCGAGCCAAGCAGACGGGACGAACGAAGAGTTCGCATATTGTGCGCAGTGGAGCGTTCCCAGCGCGGGGAGACAGGCGCACCCTGATTTTGAGGGGGAGCCGCACCATCTGCTTCGGTGTCTCGTTTTCTCTTGGAGGGTCGCCAGAGGCCCGCGTCCGCCCTGCATTTGCAGAATCCTTCTGCAGTGTTCAGTCGATTCAGCTGCGCCACCCGACACGTGCAGCGAGGACGGGCAAATGGCTGGTGCGCCGAGAACGAGACAGGGTACTCTTGGGGTAGACTAATCCGCGTTGGGTGGCGTCACCAGGGCGTATTTCCCACCCAGCAGAGATGCTGACACGATTGAGCCCTGGCTGCCTGGCTGCTTGATCCAGATGAATTGGTTACACGACCTGAGCTAACAAGCCGTCTGAGAGTTGTCATAAAGCAGTGCTGCGGCCGAGCAGCCCGGAACGGATCTGAAGCTTTCACAGTCGAAGTGCTTGAGCGTGTTCATGCATTGTCAATATTGAATCCACACCTACTCCGGCTCTGAGGCACCGCTCCTGCTGTCAAGATGCTTGACGGCATCAAGGCCGAGCAAAGCTCGAGAATCTCACGCCTGCGGCTACCGGATCCTATGAGGCAAGCTGATGTTCATCCAGACGTCGGGCATATCACCGTGAGTCGCCCCGACGGACATTGTCCCCTGAGAACTTTGCTCACAACCGTGTTATAGGATCGGCACGAGCGAGAGATCGCCATTCTGCGTATTCTTGACTCCATTGGCTTCAACTGGCCTGTATTTTGCGCTGTCGCTATCGGATTCCTAGCCTCCTCATACAGCCTCTTCGCCACGAACTTTGTGACGCCGGCTCTACTCTATGTCTACCCGCCGGAAGGCTTTAGCCATGTGGACGTAGGAGAAATGCTTGACTTGACCACCTTGAGCGCTACCCTGTTCGGAATGGTCGTCTTTGGCTACTTCGCCGACCGAGGAGGGCGCAAGAGGCTATACGGCTGGGAGCTGATCATTTTGATTCTGGCTACGGTCGGGCTTGTTTTGTCTTCTCAGGGATTTATGCAGACGGATACGAACGTGGAAGGGGTCCCCAAAAATTCGATGAATATCTATGCATCTATTATTTTCTTTCGGTGTTTGTTGGGATTTGGTATCGGCGCAGAGGTATGTTACGAAGCCTGGGCTGGCAACTTTTCAGAAGTAGGCTAAAAAGCAGTTTTCTAGTACCCCGTATCAGCTGTCATAGCAGCTGAGTTTGCATCAACGGATACAAGAGCCGTCATGATGGCCGCCATATTCCTCATGCAGAGTATTGGACGATTAATGGCCCTCGGCATCGGCCTCGGCTCCCTGCAAAGGCTCATGCAACACTACAGTCTTGGTATGAACGAAGTCGATGGAGTTTCGGCTGAAGTCAAGGCCAAAATCGTGATAGATATAGTCTGGCGGATAGTTATAGGGATGGGAGGCGTCATGGCACTTATTGCCGTGGGCCTACGACTAATCATTCCCGAGTCACCCCGATACTTTTCCGGCATCCAGAAGGACTTGAGGAAGGCTGCTCTCGCGGTCCAGCAGGTCGGCGGGAAACTGGAAGACGACCAACGATCGGAAATATCAGTCTCTTCAGGTGTGCATCACCGCTTTCACAAAGACGAAGACCCAACGCCATGGTTCAGAGCCGCCCGCAAACACCTTAGAGAAGGCGGCTGGAAGCCTTTGGTGGGAATGTCAACTATATGGCTGCTATTGGATGTGTGCTTTTACGGTACCAGTCTGGACAGTCCTCGAACGCTGAATACACTGTGGCTGGACCAAGATGCTTCCAACGCAAAGTTGCCGATGTGGAACGCCGACCCCGGCTCGCCCAACGCCACTATTCAGCAGATTCTAGACAACAATGCTAAACGAACTCTTATCCTTTCCTCCATTGCGTCACTCGTTGGAAGCCTTATCGCCATTCCAGTGGTCCATTTTACAAACCGGAAAAGATTACTCATAGGGACTTCCTTGGCTTTAACGCTTCTGTTCATCGCCACCGGAGCCAGTGTCGTGCGGACGTACGCGACGCCAGACCACGAGGTCAGCATGGTATTCTTCGCGCTGGCCCAATTCATGTTCAACGTCGGCCCTAATACGCTTACTTTCATAATGGCGGCCGAGATATTCCCCACTGTCTTCCGAGGAACGTTCTACGGCATCTCAGCTGCAGCAGGAAAGCTCGGCGCTATCATCATCAGGGCCATCGTGGCAGGTGCGGGTGATGGACACAAAGAGCTCGTTGTTTACTTGTTTGTCTTCAGCGTGATTATGCTGATCCTGACTGTCATCGCTGTTCTTCCAGGGGCACTCCCAGAGGTCCAGACGGACACAAAGAAAACCGCCAACCGGCCCGCGTCGACCAGGTACTCTCTGGAAGCAGCCAACGACGATGAATCGGATGACGGAATGCCCGAGAATTGGTGGGGAAAGTACTTGCCCAGGCGGTGGAAGAGCATGGCCCTCGAGGATATCGCTCGGTATCCACTGCCTCAGGATGAATTTGCATTGCAACACGACAACACTTCCGTAGATCAAGAGCACTTTCAAGTCGCGAGCGAGCCTGTTTTTGCAAACAGTGCTCATCAGCCAGATTTCTCGCCGTTTCCATCCGACTTTACCAACGGGGGTGTGGCGCGTGGTGAGATAGAAGATGGTACCAAGAAGTTTGAGGATGAGGTCAATCAGCGGTTTTCTTCTCCTATTCCGCGCGAGATGAGTCCGACGAGGAGATAAGCTGCTGATGAAGAGGAGGCTCGTTCAGTATTTCAGTGGTATGGCATTCAAATTGTCTGGAAATTTATGCCTTTGATAAAACTTTTCCATCAGTGCATTTTTCTTAACTCTTCCAAATAGCACTTGATCAGATTTGAGCTAGAGTTCAAATTCTGGCTTGGAGATTCATACCTAATCTTCGCGAATTATGAAGTCAGTGTTGAATAGAGCCCTGCTATGACGTCGTACATTTACTATTCACTTCATTCTCTCATCGGACATTTCACACGTACGTTGAGCTCTTGTTACAAAATTTAGTCCTCGAGCTAGCTCATGGCTTATAAGGCACCATTGTGATGGCTTTAGTGAGACGGGTGGTCTAATGGTAAGGCGCTCGAGAGTTGGATGTGAGCAGCAGCTCGAGAGATGGTGGTTCGACTCCTTCACTGTCGCCATGTTCCTTTTCTCTTTCTCACTATAGTGTAGATATCTTATATGACTACCTGGCATGATAGCCTGGACAATTGAATGAAAAAGTCCATTTTCAACACCATCCTGTCTGACCCTAGGCATATTCTCAGTTGTTGGTGCTCATCTTCACAAGGTAATATCCAGGCTCATAGGAGCCGGTCAACATGAAATATGCGACGAACCCTCGAATATAAGTGTGCTTTGGGCAAAGATACATTTTGAATGCAACGTCAGATCAACTGCAGGAGGTCTACTATGTCCCGTCAGAGGTTGAAGAGAGCATCATTTCTACGCTGAATTTTGAGCATGATCATTACAGACTATCTGAGAGTGACCGCAGGGGTACAGTAGATGGAGCGCGGCGTCAGTGTTGATCCAAGGTGAAGATTTGCTACTTTATGTGAGCCACTTGGCTGAGCTTGTAAACAGGATGAATGTACCTAGGCACCCCAGCACTGGGAGTTGGTACAAAACATTTTTTAGCCAATCAGATGAGTAGACATAGTGCACGTACCACCTTGCGCCCAAGTTCACCCCAATCTCCAGCCACCTGATTTTGTTGCTCCCTCGCCAGCCCCACTCCAACGAACAGCCAATAAGAGGGAGCTTGCCCGCTCTTCTTTCACCTCGCCGGTTGCTCCTCAACGACATCCCCTAAACGTCACCTTACTCTGTCATCGGCAAGCCCACAACGCGCGCAGAGGAACACCACATACACATACACAACACACGGTCAGTTCAAAGGTGTCCACTTCTTGAGGATCACCGCGCCGCCCGCCTAACCCAACGAGCGATGCACGCGTTATTAGCCACCGAGGCCGACATTCGCCGACTTCTACCCACTGTCTACGGGCAGTGGAAGAACCGGGGCCTTGGGAGAAGACAGCACTTCTCGTCCACATGATTCTTGCTCTGTGGCCAGATGATGCTTCTTCTCGTGGTAGTACCTGTGCTCGCACGTCTTGTTGCGCTGAGGCGGCGAGGACTCCAGCTCGTAATCGATCCACGACTTTCAATTCGTTACTGTATCGCCGCATCAATCCAGAGTCAAGGCTGCTCTTTCTGAAGCCTGGGTGGGCGGGATCCTGTCCATTTGTCATGGATAGGGGATACGACGACTTTTTTGTCTCTTCTGGACATCCCATGCTGACTCTTCGCAGGTTCCAATGACGACGCCGGTCGATGACGATGCAACGACAGCCTCCATCGACTCGGCACACGACGATGACATTAGCATTTCGAAGGCACCGGTAGTGGTGTCCTGGACCGGTGATGAAGACCAAGTGCAAACACTGAGCCATTCGCGCCTGACTCACGATCATGTCACGTTCGACATTCTCTTCGACGCGGACTCCCACACTGCTTTCTTCAAAATCACTGCCAACCTTGCACTCAAGGGCAAACGTAGCAGATCGAACGTCTTTCTCTTCATCCCTCCCGAACGCATCCAATCACTGCATGTTATCACACAAGACGATGAGCCCGTGTCGGCGTCCAAGATTCTCGGCACGAGCACATACTTGCTGCACTTCCTCCTAGTCAAACCTCCGGCACTGGTCGTACCGAAAGATGAGTTTGTACCCAAGGGCGAGACAGCAAGGACTACACTGGAGTCTTTACAGGCCTTGGCGGCAAATACCACCTTCCAGGTAGCCATGCCGTCAAAATCCCTGGCCAAGGAACGTTTGCTCTCACTCTGTGAGAAGGCTTCCTCTAGCGGGTGTCTGAAAACGATGCTGAGCGCCGCAAACACTGCAAAATTCTATGGCGGCAAGGGTGCCAGGGCCATTGAAGGCGGGGAAGCTGGCGCCGCGGGAGTGCGACCTGGTGGCGAATTATCAGGGAATGCCGCAGAAGCAACTTCATCGACTTCTCCCTTCGACTGTCCGCGGGACTTCAAAGACCCTGTGCCCGGTGAGGCTGTGGCGGTTGAAAGCCCTCCATCTTACGATGACCTTGGCCACTCTCCCCCATCCTACCCTCCCAGCAATAAACGCCGTCGTCTTGATTCAAGCTCCGGAGATACCAGTAAGCCTAGGCTGAACCTCGAGGAGATTTTCAGACAGGGTTTCAACGAAATTGGACGTCGGCTCGACCGAATAGAGAAACAGGTTGACAATTTGGGATCTCGGTTAGACCACATTGAGCAGCGCATGTCCTCAAAGGAGGGCTCCTCAGATGAACCACCGCCGCGACGCTCGAGTGAGCAGAGCGACCAGGATGGAGACGGGCTTGATCAGCGGGTGGGACGTGTCGAGGAGCGCGTGACGGGGCTTGAGGTGAAACTGGAAGCAGGCTTAAGTGAGCTGGCACAGAACGTCGAAACCCAGATTTCCGAGGCGAGATACGATTTTGACACTACCACCTTAATTCGCATAGAGGATGAGATGGGCGTCGCGCAGACCCAGCTCGAAGAGTTTGTGAGAGATGAACTCCGTAATGTCGCTGAAGAGATAGATGATACAATCAGGGAAAAGCTGCGAGATGCATTATCATAATAATAAATATATTGTCAACATACTCAATCTATGTCGCATGTGACTATCGGCCACACTCTCACTCAAACTAAGGACGTACACTTCGTAATAAACGGTCAGCTTCGCTGGCACTTTGCTCTAGAGCTTAAGTCCTACTTCTAATTTATTATCGTCTCGACTTTTTCCTCGAATCACCTGGTTTCATGTTCTTGTCACGCCGGCCTGCCTTGGTCCCGGCCTGCCTTGTTCGTGTTGAAAACGTTAGATATAGCCGCAGAGTCTTTGAAAAAAAAAAAAAAAAAAAGGGAACAAGACGCAATGTTAGATTATCAATCTGACTAAAGACTAGATGCAATTTGTCCAGAATTCCCAGGAGAGCGAACGCATCCCTTGCACTGTAACCCAAAAGAAATTGAGTACTAGAAGGAGTAGCTATGGTCAGCAATGCTTGGCTAGAGAGAAAATCATGCTCCAACGCTGCCGCAAGAAGCTCATCGTCCTTTGTCATCCAGAGTGTCGGCGAACCTGAGCTTCATCACAGCCGGAGTCAGCTGCTTCGCGTCGGGTCCCGGTGACACGCTCAGATACTGAGTCCCTGGCTCCTCGCAGGCAACATAGATGAAGCCCTCCTCTTCCTTGTTGCCCTTGGTCACGAAATGTAGCGTCAAGTCCTTGTTCTGCTCGTCTTTGGAGATCGGTGTGGGCTTCTTGTCACCGCCTTGCTTCCGAAACAGCACGAATGAGTTCGAGTTCTTCACGTTGCTCATGTACAGGAAATGAGCTCCCGAAAGGTCGAAGTGGACGTATCCCTTTTCTGGGTGCCGGAGACGGTACGGGGTCTCGTAGTGGATCTACTACAGTGTCAGAACAAGATCGACGCGATCGTAACACTGGTCCATGTTGGGAGTCCAGAAGGCAAGTGAGAAAAGGAAGGCTAAGTGATCGTACCAAGTCTACATTTTCACCGTCATCGGTCTCGACTTCCCATTTCACTTGCCACATTCCCCAATTGCGTGTCCAGTTTCCAAGACAGGCCGCTCCCATTCCGTAGAGCCTCGCGTTAGTCGTTGACTCCGTAGGTTGACCACCCTGCTTCATGAGAGCCGCGGCGGCTCGCTCTGGAGATTGCCAACATAGTCAGCGCATTTGCGATACTCGCGTTGGCAAGATTGGGGAAACCCTCCAACATCCGAGCCTAGATGGGAATGATTAGTTGGAAATACGTACGGAGAGAAACATCCACAGGATCCTTGGCTTCAAGAAAGCGGCCCAGAGGGCTCCTCGAGGCTAGATTCAAGAAAAACCTCTGAGGCGTCACGAATTTCCCGGCTTCCTTCCGCCATTCTTCTAGTTTCTGCGGCACGTTTTCGAATCCGGGAAGTTTTCCAATGAAGTCTACAAGGTGCAACACCTTGTCTTGCTGAGGGAAGGCGAAAGAAAATTCAGTACAAATTCAATGCAATCTTTCACTGTCCTCAGTGATGTTCACGACTCACCTTGGTGATCCTCCAATAATAGTAGTCTCCCACAGTCGGACACCAAGCAGCTGGACTTTCAAAAGATTAGCCATTCTTTTCATTCGAACAGCAGCGCCTCCACAGGCAACTAGTGGCGGAATTTACTTACTCATTGCACAGCAGGGTGTCTCCCCCTCGAGCCTGCCATGTGAGGGTCGATGATGCACGGCTGGCGGCGTTCGAGGACGCCTTGGAGGCGTTGTCCTCATGCGATGCACTGACGGAGGCACTGAAGCTACCAAACGAGGCAGATGCCGCGGCCTTCATGGCCTTCTTTGTCTCTTCAGTCTTTGAATCGCTCGAAGAGCTCTCCTCGACGTCCTCTGTAGCAAATAGTCGCCCGCCAAGCTGTACCCTCGAGCTGAAGAACTCGCCTACGGTTACCATTATTTAGTCAAGCCCAGAGATGCGCATGCGAGTTGGGGTATGGGAGTACCGTAGTTTTCCAAAAACTTTGTCAGAGACTTTGCGTCCTTCACTTCTGCCAAGTCTCTTTGGCATTCCATTGTCAACTCGAGGGAATTCTCGTCCATGAGTGCAGTAACCCTCGGGAACTACAGAAACAGAGGCTTAAGCAGTCTTTCCATAGTACAGAATGAGGGCAAAGTAATTAAGAAGGCTTACATTGTAGGCGATGGTAACCTGCTTTCTGCTCGACTCTTGAGAGGTCTCCGATGATCCAGAGGTAGACTCTCCATAGCTTGCTGATGCCGACATAGAGAAGCCAAACAGACTTCCTGAGCTGTGAAAGCACCGTGTAAGACACCAGGACACTACTTCAAAAGAATTTATAACTTGACGCGGTGCCGGTATCCCACCGTTTGACAGGGCAATTGACTACTCACGCAGCTGCAGAAACATCTGTTGATGTGTAGGCCGATGTGGCGAGGGAGGACTGGAGATGACTACTAGTCTCGTAAATGGACACAAATGACTGATCGTCAATGAGAAAATCCGGTATACGAAGGTAGAACTAGATCGATATTAGACCATGGAATCTGAAAGCTTCGATAGCATACGATTGGACCAAGCAGTGAGGATGCACCGGGCCTTCAGGTAAAATAAACAAAAGGAGAACTCCACTCACCATGACATCCTTGACAGTCTTGCTAGTCAACCTATCCGAGAGAATGTTCCTCTTCTTCAAAATGAAAGCTGTTTCGTGCGTAAGCCTTCAGCCCAAGCAAGTCTCTGACTCTCTGTGTCACACTGACCTGGATAGCGAGCTCTCTCAATGCCCACAACAAGCATCTTACCACCCTGTTGGCGGCGGACGATGCAGCTTCCGTAGCACAAGGCATTGTTTTCAGCCACTACGGACCAGTCTTGTTCCTCAAGCTGGGCCGGATACCTATTTTCAGACGGTATGAGCGAGTTGGCCGATTAGTGAGCAATCCTCTCAGACTCACTTGAAGAAGGTGCCGGTAAGGAGCTTGAAGGCACGATCATCGAACTCACTTCGAAGCTTTGCAAGCTTGAACGAATCGATGTATTGCCCTTCGGTGATCTCAGATTCCTATGTGTACCAATAAGTGCCTGGTGATCAACATAGACCCTGCATTGCCGACTAGAAAGCTCGACTCACCTCCTGGGCGGGGTCTCTTCTTGTTTGCTTGGGGCCTGTCTTCAGGTACATGTCGAGAATCCCATCCTTAGCCATGTCGCCCTATAACAAGTGACTAGATTTAGCTGCGGGCGCTCGAACTTTGCAGTCGACATTAGATGAGCTTACCGCAGGTTTCAAACACTCGTTGATGTAATCCTTGATCGAGTATGTGTCAGGAACAACTATACCGCTCTTTGAGCAGAAGTCGAGTAAAGCACTGTAAAATTTGTGTCAATGAGAGTCTGATAGGGCTTGATTAAGTTCTACTGACACATCTTTGCGCTCTGTCTGTAATTGAGAATGTCAACAATCAATTTCAATCTTGGAGGGTATGGATGGGGAAAGAAAAGAATCCCCGCCAAGGGAGACCAATATGAGAGTTCCGGTCTGAGGCAGAAGGAGAAAGGTGATGAGCAAATGGGGCTTCACCAATACTTACTGATCCGGCAATCATGTTTCTCAATGAAGACAAATTTTCTTCATCACGAACGAGTCGAGACAGCTTCATGTAGAATCCTCCGTGGATGCTCTTTCCATCAGTGACAAGATTCACGCGGATACTATCTTCTACCACTGTCGGAGAAGTTAAAACATGTTTCATTGGCATTCGAGCTTTCACACAAGTGCAAGTGATAGCCCGTGGTGGTTGTCGAGACCAAGGGAGGGTGCGGAGGGAAGGGCAAAACTAATACCTCGCTTCCCCCCCCCCTCCTCCCAAAAAATAAAATGAAGGAGAAGACATACCTTTCTCAGGTGGAGGCGGGTTATCTCCATCAAGTCTATCGGCTGCGTCATTGAAAGTTTCTCCAGCCTTGTCCAAGGTCTCGCCAGTCCCGGCAAGCGTATCAGCAGTCACATCCTTGACCCCCTTCAGGATGTCCATGGCTGACTAGGTCTTAAGATGACAGTGCTTTAGCAGCGGAATGTTCAATTATGACCAGAAAATGATAGGTTGTAAGGTCGTTATCCAGATGAGGAGTAGAAGGTTGGATCCTATATTCAGAGAGGGGTCCGCGTGTGTGTGCTTCAGAACCGAAGTAGTGATGTGAGATTGCTCAGACCGAATATGGTTTAGAGAGATGGAACTGTAGAGCACTGAGGAGCATTGCAGAAACAAATTTTCAGACTTTAGAAACAAGAGGCCCTTCCTTATATTCTCAAGCGACTCTTAAATGTCTTGCAGCTGTTGGGCCGCCATGCCTGAAGTTAACATGGACATTCCAGACTGGTGTACGTAAATATTGCTTTCGAGTCGGCGACCTACCCAGCCGAGGCACGAGAAGCAGGTGGCCACCCGTTCTCGTGGATCTGGAGATTCTGCTTAATTACGCAGCCATTGATGTCACTTGCCCGCACATGATAGGAGTCTTCGTCGCCGATATGCGAGAAGAGAAATAATGTGTAGCCATGTGGTTCGGATCTCAACGGGAAAACACGATGGAGTCGTACGGCGTACGGAATGAGCCGAACTTTAAGTCCAGTAAAAGTGCGACACATCCATCAAGATTCCTAGATCATCTTGCTGCGTGTTACCACAGGCTTGGTACAGCATGTAGTCTAGTTTGCGGGGAACTCACGTAATTGGCGTGCGGTGTTCCGAATCTAGCAAAAACCTTGCTTTTGCATCGGGGCCGATGATCGTGTCGTACACCTTAGATGCGCAGGGCGCTAGATGTCTTGTGGAAGGTGAGTGTCATTGATATGCGTATGGACCGAAATGGAAAACATACTTCAATTGCCTAGCTGCGATCGTGGCAGGTGATGGATTTGAGTAGCCTAGTCGCAGTCGCAGCTCACTCAAAAGCGGAGGATAAAAACGTTAAGATACCCTTGCACATGTGAGTGGGAAAATACGAAGAGCAGAGGAGCTTGATTTTTTCTGCCCAATTCAGCAGTAGAAAGGAAAGACTCGAGGTTATTATGTGTCACACACTCAACTGATTACACGCAGCGAGTTAGAGGCAAATTGTGTAGCGTTACAAGCATCGTGCCACTGCGAGAACAAAGATGACCATCAAAATTTGACGTAGCTTGAGATTAGAGACTCTCCATAGATTCTCTGAAGAAGAAAAAAAAACATGTCTACTGCGTAAATGTGTATGAAAGACCCGCTAAGCGTCCAAATGTTTTTGAACTTGACATTTTCTCGCCAGTCCATTCACCATAGCAATATCTCAGACACTTTGCCCCAGCGCTCTTCTTTATTCACATGCATCATTTTCGACGTATTTGAGAAAGAACCACTCTTAGTATGCATTTGCTATTTCTAGTGCGGATGAATCTATTGGCACAAACAATCAGCAGTAAGGCAAAAAGGGCATATGTGGCCCGAATTCTATAAGATCAAGCCACTCCGCGCGGTCCAGTGCATCATATCGAGGACAATGCTTGACCAAGTATTTCCAGATAAGACGTTTTGATGGATGCATTGATAGAAACTGCGTGAGGCCATATTGCATCCACACAGCCCAAGCACTCAGGCATAATAATCTGCTGTCCTCCGTCTCCTTGTCTTTGTCTAGATATCTCTGACACGGTCGCCATTTTGCATGTTCGTGTTTACACACCGCAATGAAGCATATTTCATAAGCGCATTCAGAATTTTATCACCGAATGGTTATATTAGTGTTGAGTATTGACAGATGTGTAATCAGCAGATGAGCTGTTGGATGATCCTCACATGATAATAGGCTGGTATAGTACAGCTATGGTGCACACGTTGTCCAGTGATATATTCAGGCTGTTAGGGTTACATTAGCTGCGGAAATATTGGTGTCTGTGGCAGAGTCAACACAGCCATGCTCGTCGTGCATATGCAGTGAGCCTGCGGACCTGTGAAACATCTGAGTCCATTCGAAAAGAAGATCCCCTCTCCTTTCCTCAACTCTCTTAGATCTCTATCTGAATCTCGAATGCATCGTCCGCCTATCATGATCCCCTGAACGAAGCTCAAGCTTCGACGAGATTGCTTTTGCTTGTCTGATGCAATTACAGCCTGCGCCCTAACATCATGGACCCCGCGTCTGCAATCGGCGTGGCCAGCGCCGTTCTGGCCATTATCAGTACCATCTCAAAGAGCATTACTTCGCTTTCAGATCTGCAGTCGAGATATCATGCCGCGGACCTCAAGGTCAACCTCCTTATCGTACAACTTTCCACAGTTAGGGCAGCGCTGAAGCAGATGGCCAGACTCATGGAGAGTGATGTTGGGGCTCCGAAAGATCCAGAGTTGGTTGAGGACATTTCAACATGCCTCGGGTGCGTCGAGGCTGTTGTAATGATTCTAGACGACAAAGTTTCGCTCATTGAGTGGAATAAAGCCAACGAGCTGACGACTCGCAGTAAGGTCAACTTCATATGGGACGAAAAGACCATGGATGATTATTCAAATATGCTCAACAATCAAATCCATGCCCTTAATCTCCTGCTCACAGCTTTTCAATGGTTCGTATGAAAATGTTTGCCCGTCGTTCTCCTTCAACGCTGACAAGTATTAAGCCGTACTGCTTTTGAGCAGAACAGGGTATTGCAAAGCAGCGAGTCTCGTCAGGTCTTTGAACGTATTAAGGATGAAACTTCCTCTCTGCTATGGTTAAGGGATGCAGAATCAATCCAAACCTATCGGAGCGCTGGGACGCAAGATCTTGGGACGGTGAATGCTACATTTGCCTTCGACTCTGAAATCTTCAACTCCAGAGTCTACCAAGTGGCTACGAGGTCGAACATGATACGAGCTCTTTTGACCGACAAACGTGATGTGCCAGATGAAGTTGCCAGCCGAGCATCAACTCGGTGCAGTGGAATCAATGTCGGAAATCCAACCCCCCGATCTAATACCTCCGTTGTAGCAGATAGTCGCCACTTTGAAATGGAAGGCGTGGTGGAGGTTCAAACCTCTTATTCTGTGACTCGTGAAAGAACAGAGGAAGTTTCGCCGAAGAGAAAATTTCTCACGCCTTCTACATGTATCCCCCGCGCTATCGAAAACCCAGTCGTGGACCCGCAACCACCGCCCATTTGCTACGACCTATCCACAAATCGCAGATATTACACCATTCACACTGGAGAAGCCTTGAGACAGCTACCATGCGCATCAGTGTCTAAACACTTGCTGCCACCAAACAGAGGTCAGTATCTGGCTTGGTCACACGTACCAACTGCTCATGAGGATTCTTTGGGGCCACTGATGAGAAGGGGAGACCTGTCGAGAGACAAGCAGCTTCCATATTTTCAACGGTTCAAATACGCCTATGAAACTCATGAGCCTGGAGACATTCCTGTTGGCCGACCTCGTAACTTCGACATCAAAGTATTGGTTCTGGGTATTTCTGACAGTGGGAAGAGTACACTCCAGAAGTCCATGAAAATGGCATTCTTGGATGATGATGTGCCATGGCGTCGCTGCCACAAGCCTGCTGTTTACCTGAGCCTGGTTCAGAATTTGAAAGCCCTCGCCTCAAAGACCGTCCAGCATGCACAAGCAAATAATATAGATCTGTACAATTCTTATCCAGAGAATGAGGCAGATTTCACAAAATGCTACCAACTCATTGATGAGTGGCTCCACAAAGAGGCTGGTGGAGTGAGCCCGCGATATTCTTTCCCTCAATCAGTCGGTTCAGCAGTGCTGTACTTATCTGCCAATGAGGACATACGCGCTATGCACGACCGGTTGATATTAGATCCTAAAACTCAAGACCGGGACCGCGATGTTGCAGATTCGACCAAGTTGTAAGTCACCATTATTGTGTCAAATTCGACCCCTAATAGCATGTTGGAGTTGCTTACCACATGATCAAAACTAGCTTCATGAGCTCTGCCTCACGAATAGTGGATCCCTTGTACATTCCTACCTGCCAAGACGTTCTATGGACCAGAAATATGAGTCTTGGTCTGCACGAATTTCATTATCTTCTCGATGGTACACTTTGCCAATTCTTCGACGTTGGCGGCACCAGGGCCGAACGACGCAAATGGCCACTGGAGTATAGCAGCGTCAATTCGATCATCTTCACGTTTGATGTATCATGCTACAATCAGACACTTTTCGAGGATTCTACTACGAATCGGATGACAGAGCAACTAAGAGTCTGGGATATGCTCGTAACATTGCCATGCTTTTCAGACACGAACTTCATCGTCTTGTTCACGAAGATTGACAAAGTCACACCATCAACGCTCGAAGCGTCGCCTTTCAACTCCTTATTCCCAGACTATTCTGACAAGCCACACAGCTCGGAGGATATACTCCAATACTTAGCATGCCGCTTGGATGTCGCATTGCGAGGGGAGGGAAGGACGCGAAGACTTGTGTTCTGCAACGCGGGAAGTATATGGAACTCTCCAACCAATATGGCGGAGGTCGCTGTCAATGCACTCAACAAGGTGGAACTTCTATACAGCTCCGACCTCTAGACTCCAACCTTTCCTTAGCTGGTTCTGATAAGAAAAGAAATGGGCTCTAAAGCAATCAATGCAGTATTTTCCCGTTGCATTTCATGACATTCAATAATTTTGGGTTCGTGTATTGTACTTCATCAAAACCTTGATGATCAAGCTTATTGATGAGAATCAGCACAACAATTCATGGAAACAGTTGTTTGTACGATTAATGCAAGCCAAAAGCTGCCTTGCAGTCTTGTTATCCGGCTTCATTGAAAGAACAAGGAGTAATTGCCGATCCCCGCTTGAAGTAAATCGATGTCGGATAGCTGTTTGGCCTTTGGAGATAGTCTCTATTTTTGCTGGTAGGGCTCTGGGAAATTCTGAAAATGGAATGAAGTGTAAACACGAGGTCTTATGGATTTGGATCTAGTACCGAGAGACTGAGCTGGTGAGATTGTCAGTTGCGCGGTTGCTTCGGAAGCATCATCGCAAGCAGGGAAAGTTAGAATACGCGTTCCTCTCAAAGTCAAAATTTGCTGAAGACTCATATTCCCCGCACGTCATATTAAATGAAACCCAGCCCGCTTCAGTGAGCTGCAAGAATTGTCTCAAATACTCTAAACATCTCAACCATGGCGGACCAAACCGTTGCTCTCATTGACCAACTAAGCAGCCTGAGGTCTAAGCTAGCTTCAGGCGAGGATGATTACAATTCTAGGACCGAGGCGTTACGACTGACCAAAAGAATTACTGCTGGTCTTGAACAGCCCGAAACCGCCGCGTTGGAGCTCGCGTATACTGTACGCCAACCCTTTACTCCTTGACCTGGTTTCCTCGGGCAAGCGGCATTCATTGACATGACATGATCTAGCCATTTTTTGCCGTTGCCGCCAGAATTGCAGATGGACTCAATCTCTTCAAACATATCGCAAACCACGGAGGACCAATATCCTCTGAGAAGTTGGCAGCCATTTCCCATGGCGAAGAGTTGCTTATTGGTAAAAACAGTCTAGCAACCAGTGGATAAACTTGAATACCCAGCTGACACAGAACAAGTGCGAACGTTAAGGCTCCTGGCAACCGTTGGTTTTGTGAACGAGGTAGGCTTTCAGAAGTGGGAAGCTACGGCTATTACCAGGGCCATGGCGACAGATGAGATTGCAGCTGGACACCGAATGGTGTAGGTTTGGATACGATTTCCCTTTCCCTCGGATACATGGTGGCATGTCAATAACAAGAAGAAGCGGAGAGATGATCGTGGAAGCCGTGCAAAATGCACCTAAGTATTTCCGTGAGGCTGGCTACCGTTGCCCTACAGAACCTCGCGATGGCCTGATGCAATACGCATTCCAGACGAAGTTGACAACATTTGAGTTCTTCAGCTCAATGCCTTGGGTCTTAAAGGATTTCAACACTTTCATGGGGAATACAATGGGTGGGAGGAGATACTGGACCGACTGGTTCCCAGTCCAGGAGCGCCTGCTTGATGGAGCGAATGAGACATCGGCACTACTGGTGGACGTCGGTGGCGGCAAGGGCCATGATGTGCTCGCATTTCTTGCAAAGCACCCAGAGAAAGGACGACGTCTTATTCTCCAAGATCTAGCCCCTGTGATTAGCGATCTGGAGTGCGTCGACTCGGCTATTGAGCGCATGACTTATGATTTTTTCACGGAGCAACCCGTCCAAGGTAACGCCAATCGCCATTTCTTTGCCTCAAGCTTTCTCAATGGCCTGGGTACTAAAAGTGACACAGGTGCGCGGGCTTACTTTTTTCATCACATCTTCCACGACTGGTCTGACAAGTACTGCTTGAAGATCTTGGAGCAGGTCCGAAAAGCAATGGCGCCTGGGTACTCAAAGCTTATCATTCACGAGTTGATCATACCAGAGCAGAACGCTGACAGGTTTTCTGTCGGTTTTGATATGATCATGATGGCTTTCAATAGTGGTATGGAGCGCACAGAGAGACAATGGAAAGGGCTGCTAAGCCGAGCTGGTTTTCAGCATATCAGAGCCTGGCCAGCCCCTGAAGCAGGGGCAGATAGTGTTGTTGAAGCGATGATCGAGGAGCAATGTGAAATGCGATAAGCGATCGCTATTTTCGAATTGATATTATGCCTCGTGGGGCTGATGATCTGCAATCTATGCATGAATATGAGTCTCATTTTTGCTTAATGCCCATGAGCAAGAAAGCAGTGTCTTTAATTAGACGGACTATAACACCCCGAGACATGATGTTTCACACACTCTGTTGCTCCTTCAGGGCCTTCTGCCCGATCCGAACTAGGTCATCGTTGGATAGCGTGTCCTTCTCAAAGCCGTTGATGACCTGGTCCAGGATGGCCGCTGTGATGTCCTGCAGCTCAACCAGGGGGAGGCCCGGCACCTCAGGCACCACCTTTCCTGGGCCCTTGATGAAGCCGGACTTAGTTATACACGACTGCACCGCACCTTTGGACTGCTCCGCAAATTCTAGAATGTCGGTCTCGACCTCGCCCTGAGCTTCACAGTCAGCCTTGGGGATTTACATCAGGCTGGAAGCGGGCGCTTCGTGACAAGTACCGCTATCAAACTTACGCGTAGGTAGCCTAGTTCCGTCATGCCATAATCGCCCAGTACTTTGACTTGTTCGGTCCTCTGGCGCGGAGCGAAATGGCCGCTCATGTAGACGAAGCGGAGAGGCTGGCCGTCCTTGCGGGGGAGATTCGCCAGAGTCTGGATTGCGGTCATGGGGTAGACCTTAGAGATCTTGACCGTCTCTTCCCATGGTAGGGACTTCAATCTCATGGGCGTTACGGCAATCGTCCTGTGACTTTGATTAGAACCTGCATGGCTCATAGTTGGGCAGTGATATCGAGGAAGAAATGTGGTTATACCAGATACATGCATCCACATCCTCGAGCTCCCTCTTGATACCATCAGAATAGTTCTCGAAGTCTTCGCAGACGATCAACTTCAGCTTGGCAGCATTGGCGGCCGAGGATGGCGCGGATGTCTCGCGGCGACTAAGGCCAACGACAGACGTGATGGCCGGATTGGACAGCGCTTGGCGGACGAGCTCCGCGCCGACAAAGCCACTGGACCCTCCAATGGCGAGCTTCATGGTCACTGACAAAAGCTGGTTTGCAAGAAAGTTGAGAGTGGATGCAAAGAGGAAAGAAAGGATTCTGCACCAAGTGGGTGATGACGTTCCGACCTTCGCCCCCTCGGCTGAAATATAGCCGTTTGAATGCAGTCTGGAAGGCAGTTCCTGCTCTGCACCAAGTTCGGGAGGTCAGAAAGAACAATGCCAGGTAGCAGCCGGAGCTGGCCACCAACCAACCAACCGACCGACCAACCGACCAACTAAGCTTCGATGAAGACTAGCTCAAGATCCTTCGAAAGCTTGCGAAGTCAGATCGTTGTACGGCACGAAGGTATCCTCATGGTCTCAGAAGAGAGTTTTTCACTGAGTAGTAGCTGTAGTTAGTCTACTGGAGGACATTTAGCCATGTTGATAGGTTAGACGGCAGAAGCCGCAGGCCTTCCTGCGCCAAATGCAGTGCTCAGCTTCTACGCCGCCACTGATTTTGAATGGGGAGGTAAACCGTGACGTCCCTCAATTACGAACGCTGATATATGCATTGACATACAACGTTTTTGGCCCTGCCCACGCCGAGCACGAGGAGGGCTCACCTCTGTGGGAGCGTCTGGTAGCACCCGGTTACCATTTCTTGGATGAGGTTTTGAGGACTGATGAATGAAATTTTCTGATTACAAGCCGTTCAACTGGATAATCCACCTCAATCTTGGGGTTGATTGAGCTTTACTGTTTGATTTCTTTTCCAGATTTCATGACTGATTTGAGGATATTATTTGCCCCTGGGGTTTGTAAGGGATAGGTTATTGTTACATTTTCTCGTACAGAGGCTCTGAAAGACGCGCTGCATCTTCGTCCCGGCCGATCTTTTTGTACAGACGAGCCAACACTGTAATCCATGAGGGACGAACAGCCGAGGTAATGGGTAATTCATCAAATACCTTTTCCCTCACGCCAATGGCTTGCTCGATCTGGCCATTTTTCAGATATGCATCTGCAAGGTTTCGGCCAAAGGCGCAATATTGGTGGTCATCCGGAGACATTAAATCGAAAACTTCTGCCTGAAAAGAGAGACTCTGTTCCATTGCGCCCCTCTTTCGAAGCAAGCAGATGATATCTCTGGCCCAGTCGAGATCGACATCCTGTAGGAACGCTTCCGGTCTGTCCTCTTGAAGCCTCGTCCAGACTTTGAAAACGCCTTCGAGTCGGTCGGCATGGCTGTCCACGAAGAGGTGTGACCAGGCATTGAAGGCCATACCCCTTGGTCGAATACCCTGCCAAACTCTTTCCAAATGAGGCAGACCCGGTTCGACAGCATCGCGGGAAATTTGGGCCCCTTCGATGAGCAACTTGGCAGCGTCAAGGCACCGGTAACAGAACATTCCGGGTTGAAGAATGGGGCCACCGCCGGCAAACTGCACACGGAGAAATCCCCAAGCCAAGCGGAGTGCTGAATTGACTTCTTCCGTGGACAATGCATCCGAGGCCGCAGCACCGTCTTGGCGGCGACAGAGTGTCGAGGTCACTCTGACCAGTGCGAGCCCATCTAATCCAGGCTTGTGGCGGTGGTCCGGACCATCGCCGTTGAAGCGAGACCACATCTCTTTGCATATCCACGCTGCATAGCCGTAGTCGCCTTGGTGCGTGCAAGCGGTGATGGTTGCCTGCAACCACTTAAGCCATGGCTCGCTGAGGTGAAGACTGTTGGCAGGCACGAGACGTAATGTCTGTGCTTCGATGTGCCTTGCTTTTTCCTCGCTGTGAAATTGTCGAAAAGAGAGCGCAAGTTGCTCGGCCCACGAGCAGAAGACCTCTACATGATCGTCTCCCTTGCACGTGCGGTTGTTCAGCTCCTGGTGGGCCAACAAGTGGGGCCAGATGGCTTCTCGGAGGAGAAGACCGTCGTATGGGTCTTTTTCAGACAATTGTTTGATCCAGCGGCTGACGACAGCGAAAGAACTGTTCTTTCCCCCCTTCTCAGAGCTATTTCTGGCTTCAAGGTCGTGGTACTGGTTTAAGAAGACGCGGTGGCGAATAAGTCGTCTGCTTGCCAGGTGCGCATCGAGCAGGGGTCGGCCAGCTAGGATTGCTGACTGCAAGTCTCGAAGTGTGGGCAATTCCTCCAGAACGGCCTGACGAACCTCAATTGGAACGAAGAGAAACGGGTCCATTGTGCGAGGTAAGAAAGAGGCATCGCATGTTATCCGATAGTCGGGGCGCTGAAGGTGAGGTGTACGGGGTAAAAGCCGAGGTGCCGTTTGAAGGCTCCAAGTTGGGGCTCGCGCCCCTTCACCCCTCTTCCTCTTCTTGGCTAGACAAGGGTTCACTAATGTGTCTATCAGATCGAGAACATTTTAGCGCATTACTATTGTGTCTTCCTTGTAGCGCCTCATTTCAATATTATTTGGCCCTCGCTGGTTGCATCATGGTAGGTCCTTTGCGGTTCAACAGCAGATTGAACTTCACTATGGTTGTCGGTAGAAGGACAATGGCTTTCCAGATCGATGCACTAGAGTGAGTGCTTCCAGAGCGTCGGGTCTGGTACCGCTAGACTTGTAAGATTGATTCCTCCCCCTCGGGAAATTCTCAAGACGTTTACCTCGATACCCGTCTGTATATGTATTATCTGAGAGTGCCTAAATCAATGTGAGCACTATGTATTGTGCTCCCAAGAGTCGTGATGAAATCGCTGAAATCAATATATCCTGAGGTCGAACGAGTCATGCACGCAGTTGTGGCCGCAGATTGTTCTTTCGGAGATAGTCTGTTCTTATGCCACACGATTGCTTCTTAACATGGTGACCAACTTTCTCAATATATGCACCGATTTGCCTTCTTTGAATTCGCGCCATCCCTCAATCGATGTAGTCGATCTCGCATATTTGAAGACTGCCGTCATTTTCGGAGCATCAAGAGAAATATATGCCCTATTGCCTCTTTCTTTTTTTTTTTTTTTTTTTTTTTTGTTTTTTGTGGCAGTCACGATGCCTTTGGTGAACATAAAGATGGAACTCTTGATGGCCATAGGTCTGGGAGCGCCTGGATTGCGTATGTGAGGCCAGTCTCCCATAGCACGGTTTAGATTGGAACCTGAGGAGGATCCATCCTTCCGCAGATATGTGGGGAGCATTGTGGATGATGGAGTGAAATGCAATGACTTCAGCACTATACCAGTAGCCGTCCACCATTTGATTGGATGATGCTACCAGTCGCAAATCCATCTTTCATCAAATATAAATACGCTTCAGCAATATCCTCTGGTCGGCCCAGCCTCTGGATCGTTGTTTCCTTGGCAAGAGCCTCAAGAGCTTGCTCTGGTACGTTTTTCAGGGCCTCCGTCTTGATGACTCCTGGCGCAACCAGGTTCACCCTGATAGGTGCCATATCGACAGCAAGGCCTCTCGCCAGCCCTTCAATCCCAGTCGCCGCGTAAAGACCGAAGCCGGGTGGCGGTTTCGAGAAAAGGAAGTCTCCGGTGAGGGCATAGCTGCTATCAGGGCTCTGCTCCATATACGGGGCGAGATGCTTCGCGATGATGACCGGAGCGATGGTGCGGACGACCTGATTCTTCTCAAACTGCTCCACGGTCACTTCCGATAGTGAATTCAAAGAGCGGGCATCGCCGGCCGTGAAAACGACATGATTGATCTTGTACATTGCTCTGAGAGTGACAGCTGACAAGAGCTTTTGAATATTTGACTCGAGCGCATCTTTGTTGGACAGGTCACAAGCATGGGCAGTGATCCGGAACGCGTCAAGATTTTGGTATGAGGTCCTCAAGCGGAGGATAGTGTCAGCAAGATTGCGAGGGTTCGACCCGGCGAGAATGACAGTGCAGCCATGCTCGATGCACGCCTCAGCTACGGCGTAGCCGATGCCGGACGTGCTGCCGAAGATCAGGACGCGATGGCCTTTAAGCTTGTTGATGAATTTGAATCGGGGTGTAGCCATGATGTGTTTAAGTACAACTGTTGTTTCGGAGTAATATAGAGGCTGTGGTCGCGTTTCGTGAAGAAGTCCGTGAAAGTGGCGCATGTGGGAAAGGCGTTGGTGGTTTGAGGTGGTTCGACCCGTGATGGACGTGTAGTACACAATGTTTGCTTCTTTGCCCCACGAATGCGGCACTCTCGTTCCAATGTCAGCTGACAAAGAATACTTGCTACAGTACCCCCTGCAGAGCCAGCTGCAGGTGTGAACTTCCGCTTTGTTGGTCAACAGGGGCGTAATTGAGTTTGGGCCTTGAGGTATGAACCAGAAAGACTGAAGGAAAAAACACCATAGATTTATGGTTAAGAATGAACGGAGAGAAGTCATCATGACATGAATTTCCCTCCTCTTTGAACCCAAAGCTGATAATTAACATAAATTAAATGAGCGTTGCCTACCATTCTCCGTCCAATTATTGTGGAATACTCAAAATTATGCCACTTGGCGACCTCGAGCCAAGTTCTGAAAACAATTTCTCCCGGAGTCGAGTGATGTCCATCGACAGCAGGTGTCGGTCTCATTTCTCTCGCCCCTCCATGTCTAACGTCCTCTTAGGGTTCTAATTGATGAGGCAACCAACAAGATCCACAATAGCCAGCCTTGTACGCGGCGGCCACCAGACCCTTTAGCTGGCTCTAGACCGAAGCCATTATTTTAGCCCATGAGGCTGCCAGAGCGGTCTATGTCGATAGCGGCAATACGAGCGGCACATGATCATCAAGAGACTGGCTCAAAAGTGAGTGAATATTTAAGGGTGGTCTTGCTGCTGTGACCTCCAAAAGTTTCTTTTCCCGTTCCCTTTCCTGCCTTACGCCGAACCACTATTTCTGTCCGATGTCTAGTACATACAACCATTAAAAGAGCATAAGGCGACAGGGTATTTCTGCGTCATGAATTCCTGCCAAATAGCAAAATGGTGATGCATGCGACGCACGCCTTCTTTTCTAAATTCCGGGTGAACAGCGTCAATTACTGTGCGGTGATAGCAACAGGTGAGCTTCCTTCTCTACTTTCATCAGTTTCACGGCCTGAAGAAGCACTTCGTCTCTGCGCACATGCCATAACGCTACCATCATTTGCCTTGCTTGCGTTTTGCGATCGTCGGTCAAACAACCCATCCTTTGGTCCGCTGCCATCGAAAGATGTCCAGATTCTCTTTGTCATTCTCTTCGTCATTTTACAACACTCTAGCAGTGGTGCTTTCAAAATGTTGGACAAAACCCAGGGGGACTCCGTAGTGAACCTACAGGAACTATTCACCTCACTGGATGGACGGTCTGTGATGTTCAACTGAGACCACAATATCGAATACGGGGAAGCTAGGAATTATACCGCTTCTCACAATTACAGGCACGGGGGGGGGGGGCGACCAACACCACGAGGGGAAACAAACACCGCGTCTCTGTTACCACTCTTTTTCTCATCGCTTGCAAGTCATGCGAGCCGATGATGATCGAGAAGAAAGAGATCGCACGCAGCAAAGTCGTAACAGGTCATTGGTCCATGATGAAACGCCGACGGCCTGTTTTGGATCTCCCTTGCTGTGGACGACGTGCATTTGCGCGCGGACCGTTTCGAAAAGGTGAATCTCGCACGAGAACGGGCCGGTCGTGCAGTAGCTGAGACTTCGCGGCGGACATCATCGCCTGAGGGTGGCGATGAGGCGTTAGAAGACGTGAAAAGCTGCTTGGATTTCAAGCAAGTGCTGCGGAATCTGAATCTCTTCGAAAGTTTTGTCTCTCTATCTCTCTCTCTGTGTGTATGTGTGTCGAGGTGTTGAAGATCTGGGTGTACATCTCTGAGCACGCAGGATGAATCAATTTTGGCTGACCATTTCATACAGCATAGGAACATTGTCGCTGGTTTGGTATACCGCCAGCACTTGATAAACCATATACGTACAGTCAATAGCAATACCACTTACGTCGGGCATAACTTCGACAGCCCTGGAAACAACGAGCGCCGCCCTCTCTTCCTCTCTGATACGCTGCTAGACCGATCAAGCAGCAGCAACAACTTATCCTGAGACAGAAAATAAACGAGCGGACATAACAAAAACGGTACCGGGTACGTTCAGGTCTGTCTCGCCTCTAAAATCCCTTGCTTTAAGGAGCCACGAAGGCCCCGTGTTTCAGATATTTCTCAGTCTCACCTCTCCAATATCACGGCCCAATGTCCAACATCAATATACCACTTACTGACCATCACTCACCGCCGTAGCACAGAACCCCCGTGCCCGAGACACATACATGATTTAGACAAGACCGAACATGTCACCCGGACAAGTGAAGGACAAGACTTATCTCTGCGCCGGACCAAAACTGGCCTCCCAGCAGCGTATATATGCCAGCCACCAGATCTAGATAATACGTATATGTACAGACAGTCTGGTGCCGCAGCTCAACACTGGAAATTTGTACATCGAACAGGAGGCCATAAAAACGTCCAGCAGCAGATTTTCATGATAAAGGAGCCGGGTTCCTGGCTGTGAGAAAAACGTATAGTGGGGAACGATAGTTGAATTGTCAAGTCTTCGAAGCAGTGGGGAACAGATTCTCCCAAAATCGAAGACCCTTTGAGGATTCCTCCAGATGTCGAGATCGAGAATGGTATCTTTCTTTCTTTTCCTTTGACCTTACACTGTCAAGTTTGGTGCTCTGTCAAGTAGAAGAAAAATCAACAAGCACATCAACCCCCCATCCGGAACAAATTACAGAGAATCAAGTACCCTTGTCCTCCCTGCAACGCGATGGCCGTCCAAACTCCAAATAGGCGATGCAGAAGAGAAAGAAAAATCCCTGGTATCCTTTTGCCGCTCTAAGTAGGTCGTCACGCGTGGTCTAACCGATGCTCTCACTCGCTTCCCGTCAGGTGCTTGAGATTTACAGGAAGAAAGCGGCCAGGCCCAGGACACCGGCCAGGCCGGCGCCGGACAGGGCAGCGGCCCTGCCGGCACCAGCAGTGGCGATCGGCGAGGTGGCCTCGGGGCTGCTGCCGGTGGTGGTGGGGACAGAGACACCACCAGTGCCGACGGGGGCGGTGGTGGGGACGACGACGGAGGCAGTGCCGTTAGGGTAGACTGGGGGCGCAGCAGCAGAGCTGTAGGTCATGAATATCAGTATGCGTCATTGGGTCTTTGTTTTATTCAACGACAAGTCTTACCAAGTGCTGCAAGCGACCGAGGTCTGGGTGATGATCGGCTTGGTGATGGTGCACGGGCAGTCGGTGATGGTCAGGGTGGTGGCCTGAAAGATTGTCAATAATATGCCCAAATACGTCGGATCATGAGGAATGCGCTGCTCGGCCCGGATAGGAGTTCGAAATAGGAGAACCAGAGTCCAGGTATCCTGCGATATCTTTCATGGTTTCCCCCATCCTAGCCTTCCTAAGATCCGTCCCCGAGTCAGATCATGCCCCTTTTCGTCGCAAACATACCGATGAGACGGTGTAGGTGGTGCCGGCGTGGGTGAGAGTGGTAGCGGCAGGGCAGAAGGTGGTGAGGGCAGTCACGACCTCGGTGGTGTAGGTGACATTCTCAAAGGCGGAGGCACCAGCGGCGACGGCGAGAACGGCGGCAGCGGAGAACTTCATTTTGACGGTCGGGTATTAAAATTAAGAGACTCGGAAGAGTGACTTTGTAGATTGTCGGGTGGGATTGTAGTTTGGTGACCTTTGGTCTTGTTGTTGCGAGCTGGTTAACGAATGAAATTGACTCGAGAGTCAGGGTTATAGCGAGTGATAGAGAGTGTGAGGGTGGAGGAGAAAGGAGGAAAGGAGGGACATGGAGACGACAGTGCACGAGGCCATAGTCTTATATACAAAATGCGACGATGGAGTGGTTCTCGGGAGATTAGGTGGGCTTGAGCCTTGGACGGCGCAGGCGAGATGGCGGAGAGCAGAGGCAGGGGTGGCCAGTAGGGGGGTGGACGCTACTGGGCCACCGTCTGTGCAGGATCCAGTTTTGGCTGCTTTTGGCCGGCAGGTTATTTAACGTGTGCCGAATCAGAAGACGGGAATCCTGCTAGGATGTGATGCCCCGTTGGACCCTGCTCAGCCGTTGACGGGAAACAGTTGTGGTGCCCATCCACCAGCCCAAAGAGACGGAGAAAGGGGACCTCGGATCCTCCTACTCGGCGCAAGCAGTCAGCCCAATAGTCGTGCATGCCTCGCCGCCCAGCTCCAGGAGAGGCTGTCTGGGTAAGCCGGCAGGACAGTGTCCATGGGATGGGATTGAGGAGAGAGGAGAAATGAAATGAAGTGATCCGAAGCGAAAGCTTGGCAGGCGGAAAGCCAGGGCCACTGATCTCGAAATGTCAAAGAGACGAAAGGGTGGATCGAGTGGGCTTGGGCCGTGCCTGATGGACGGGTCCAGCTGGGTCATGATCAGGGCAGAGTGGGGCTGGCCTGGGGCCCTTCTCCAGATCTTGGATCGCCGTTGATATGCAATCCCCTGTACCAACAGAATTGCTGTCGGGGATATCATGAATCGAGAGGGACTATGTGAGGGTCCGTATTGAGTGTATGAAGGCGATAACCATGGTTATCGCGATGAGATTGTTCAACCAGGCGGATGTCACGAACTTTAGGGCGACACACCAGACCTGTCATGGTCGTGGTTGGAGAGTCAGAACCTTCACACAGATGCATGGAATCACCTTGGCCGCCCTGTCTCATTGCTGTTGTGACTGTGTGTACTGTACCGTGTGAACATGTGTACGGTGGATGCTCGGACTGCTCGCGACGAGTTGACAGTCCGAATGCATCATAATCCCGACTTCCAGACTGCTCAAGGTGGCGGCAGGGCAAGGTAGGGGTGTGTTGTTTGACAGTGTGACCGATTACCCGAAAGCTGGGGTACGGGATGGAACCTTGGGCTTGAAAACCTGGAATCCTGGATCGGGCTTGGCTGAATGGTTGATGGTATGACAAGATGAACTGCTGCCCTGCGCTGCTGCGCTGCAAGGCATGGGTGATGGATGGCTGGGCAGGGGACAGCAGAGGAAGCAAGATGAGATGAGAGATGCGATGAAATGAGGAGGTCATGCTCCTTGGCGGCTGCTGCTGCCGCTGTCACCCCGCTGTCACCCACCTGCAGGCTGACAGGAGAGAAGATGGCAGGCGCAAGCTGGCCGAATCGGACGTCATGGAAAGAAGCCAGAGCAAGCCAGAGGAGGGGAGAGGAAGGCGTGGAAGGCACAACACAGCCCTGCGAGCTAAATGCAGGAACCAGGAACCAGGCACCAGACGCCCATGATTCGCCCACGATTCGGCAGGCTCACAAGCTAGAACATCCGCTAGCACCTAGGCCGCAGACTAACCCTTCCGTCCTCTCCGTCCTCTGCGTTGGTGTGCATGGCCCAGAGACTTGGGAAATTGCTCTCAAGAGTCAGTTCGTCACTCGTCCTCCTCCTGTCCAGGTCCAGCTGCCAGCCGAGCCAGCGCATGGCAACACGGTCCGTTAGCACATATGCACCCGTGCAGATGCAGCAGCATGTCAAGCCACCTGTGTCATGGTCTGCTGATCATATGGCGACAAGTCGTCCCCTTGTTCGGATATTATCTCGGCTGCCAGTCCGATCAGTGGTTCTAGAACCCTGGAACCCAGGCACAAACAGGGCCGGATCTCACGCTTGGCCATGCGAGGGGCGAGGCGAGGCGAGGCGGCGATCACTGCAGCTGGCCAGCTGGCTGCGAATCTTTCTGGGTCGCCTGCTATAAGCGGAAATGAACAAAGTGATGGACGCCTGGGTCTGCTCAGTTCTCAGTCCAGTTCGGCCCCCGAAAAGGGATGCAACCAGTTCGTTTGGCCAAGTCGGACCACCACCAGCACTCGTGAGGAGGCAAGTCAGTTTTAGCTTCGAGTCCCTCTTTGCAGAGCTGGTCCCACCTCCACATTCGCCATCTCACCGATGTTTGTGGAATGCAGGAGCACGCATGGCAAGCGTGTTTAGGGTTTTCCGCCATCCGAGACCACTGCCGAGCGACCTGTCTCACTCACATCTCCGTGGAGGCCGTGCTCAAACGGCACAGACAACCAGACAGTCAACCGCCCCTCATTCAGGGCTTGCCCAGCTTTTGTTATCGTTCCGAGCAATTCCCACGCCGCCTGTCGACCAGAGCTGGGCACAACGGCTACCCGGCGGCTCCCAGAAGCGACTTCTCGCCTGCAGACACAGTCAGACAGAGCTTACGCGGTCAGATTCCGTCTTTCCACTTTGAGAGGTTAGTATTAGGAATTCGAGGCGCCTAACTTCTCCTTACCCCCCCTTTCCCTCCTATCTATCAGGTAACATTAATCAACAAAGAATCTGGTGTTTGAGAGGATCCAATTGCTGCTCAGTGGGTCAGTAAGCACATCCACCAAGATTCCTCATCGTATTGATCCCAGCTCCTGGGCGGGTGTGCAATTTCCCCCAATCCGCCAGGCGGATCCAAGACACCATTGTGCGCTTTCCCAGGTTGGCATCATCTTCAATCATCAGCAAACATATCGCCCAGCACAACAACAACTTCTAGGATGTAGGCAACGCGTCTTCTTGCCCCATTTTGGCAAGTCTGTCTTGTGGTCCTCGTATTGTCGAGGCAACACGTTCCTACCGTCCAGCCGACATTCGCCTTGGGCTCTAGGAGGTCACCTGGCCGGTTTCTAGCAACCGCGGGCCTTCTTCGAATATCAAACACGGCCCCACGAACTGCCAGGAATCTACAAATCAGCAGTATCGGGCGGTTTCCAGTATCACTTGTGAACGATGATTAAAATCTGCGTAACCATCGCCCAGTGGCCGGATAGCGGCGGTGCAGGTCTACTCGGTAAAGATATCAAGTCTGCCATCTTCAACGACAGGGGATATAGTTCACTTTTTGTTCATACCTGCATATATGCGGCCCTCCAGTCTGTCGCAGCATGGTAGAGAATACGAGAAGAATCCCCAGCTGCTTCTCATCCGAACCTGGCCTGCCTGGATGCGCCCCGTACGATGTTCCATTTCCGGCCAATGATTACCACTTCGCCAGCCGAACCAGCGGACTTCTTGCTTTGAAGGGCAAACACGGTCCATGCCCGCCTTTCTGTTTTCATCCTTATGATCCCAGAAACACTTCTTGCAACCAGTCATTCAACGGCCAATCAATGAATTCGCTAGAAACAATTTCGGTTTGGCGGAGATTGTCTGACCACCGTTCAACAATCTTTGACGGTGGCTCGTGTTCACGCCCAGAATCAGGATCACACTCGAATTCAGGAAATGCGTGTAGTCGAAGTGGATCAACCTGACGTAGAATGGTTGTCCAGGCCGACCATGGAGGACCCCGTTACGCGGCATAGGGTCCCTCTGAGGCACACCACACTGGCGTCACATGCTTTCCCCGTCAACGAACGCCTTCATGATGGTTATCCGCTCAGCCCGGCTCCATTTGCTGGCTTTAACAGGCTTTGGGAACGATTACAGGCACGTATTTTCATAAAGAATAGCATGGACGTAACGTGAGCTCCCAGCTCGCCCTGGGACGGGCACCTCAGCCCTGAAGGACCCGTGCAAGCGAGGGACGACTGTTTCCCATTTCGGCTTGATTTGATGATATATGAATGCCTTGCGGTCACACGAAACGTACGTAATCCTGAATACGTCGGGCTGTGCGTTCTCAATGTCCAGGTACAGAGGACCATAGAACTTGGCCGTCAGGGCCATACCAGACGGCATCGGCAGCCGAACCTTTGCGAGCTGCGAGTGCTTCCCATCCTTGACCCTGATCTTTCCCGTGATGTCGATCTCGACGCGCTGGGCCTGGCTATGACACTGTTCACGGCCGTGTCCTGCGGGCATGTCTCGAGCGGTTGCTCGCTCTGCAGGTCCTGTCTCAGCTGGCCTCTGGCCCATCCGTAGCTGGAGACGCTGCTGTCCTCGAGCTTCGGTCCCCAGATGCACGCTGAAATCGTGGCCCCGGTTTAGTACGGCAGCAGCGGCTTCTGCTTGTCCCGTTGCTTTGCGAGGTAGTCCACTTAAGGAGGGTGCGGGCCGGTGAGCTGTGAAAGAGGCGCCATGAGTATGCTGCCGACATGAGAGGCCGAGTGGGAATAGGCAGTCTGCGTGTCGATACAGGTAATGAGACCCTGTCTCTATATGGGTGGCATATGGTATTTGAGGCCACTGTTGAGATGGTTTCCAAGGTCATGTTGGAGCCGACATATCCTCGAGAAAGCCAGATGTGGCACACCGGATCATCCCGAGATGAAAGGTGATTTTCGATTATTTCCAAGACCCTGAAGCTCATATGGGCTTGCCTTACCCACAGGCATGCTCGCGGTCTGTTCACTGAACCAGCTTGAGCCGTACTAGGCCAGCATCCACGCGGTTTCGTTGGTACAGGCGCCTGTCAGTCAGCTGGAGAAGGCCAACAACGAGAAATTGTCGAATCATGGCTACGGCCACTCAAGACAAAAGATCAAGCAGCTGTAAGCAAGTTTAAATTCTTTATGGCGCAGCTTCGAGCTTGCTGCTGGAATGGTCCTACTGGAACGGCTATCGAGACTCCATTGTTGAATGTCCGTGCCAAGGCGGCCGAGGTCCTGCTCCGATCGAACCCCACTTTCGGTCGCCCCGGCACGGAGGCACTCCTGCCCCATCCCTCGGCTTCATAATCATGAACAACTGGGCAATTAGTAAGCTCAAGGAACTAAGTGGTGATAGCGTCATGCGAAGACCTGTTCTGGATCAAGAAGCAGCCTCCCAATTCCACTATATATCCTATGTATAAAATCCATCCCGTTCCTTTTGTAACCACGACGTCATTTCGTACCCGCCAGCACGAGCGTCACTAGCACAGCTACGAGATAGCCACCCGATCAACCAAAGCAAGAAAGCTCCGGGGAAAGGGATAAAACCACATTGTCTCAATTGAACACAGCCAACATGCCTGAATACATGAAAGCAGTCGGTAAGTCGGCCCCTTGACCAGCGTCACAAGAACCCCCACTCACAGCCGGAGCAGACATCAAGGGCGGCAAGGGCCCGATCGACGCCCTCTTCATCAACGCCGAGGTGCCCAAGCCCACGCCCTCAGCCCACCAGGCCCTGGTGAAGATCAAGGCATTCGGGCTCAACCGCATGGACCTGATCCAGCGCGAGGGCCACTACCCGCTCCCGCCGCAGGCGGGGCCCATCATGGGGGTCGAGTTCTCGGGCACGGTCGAGGCCCTCGGGTCGGAGGAGGAGCAGCACTGCCGCGGCCTCAAGGCGGGCGACGAGGTGTTCGGGCTCGCGTACGGCGGCGCGTACGCCGAGTACATCGCGGTGAGCACCAAGATGCTCATCCGCAAGCCGGCGGGCTTGTCGTGGGAGGCGGCGGCGGGGGTGCCCGAGACGTTCATCACGGCGACGCAGGCGCTGCACTTTGTCGGCGGGTTCGACAGCCTGCGGGGGAAGACGGTGCTGTGGCACGCGGGCGCCAGCGGCGTCAGCATCGCGGGGATCCAGCTGAGCCTGGACGCGGGCGCGGCGCGCGTGTTCGCCACCGCGGGCAGCGCGGACAAGTGCGCGTTCATCGAGGGGGAGCTCGGCGCCACGAAGGCGTTCAACTACAAGGAGGATGACTGGGCCAAGGGCGTGCTGGAGGCGACGGGAGGCGCGGGCGCGGACCTGATCGTGGACTTCATCGCGGGCGACTACGTGCAGAAGAACCTCGACTGCGCGGCCCGCGAGGCGCGCATCGTCCAGCTGGCCTTCATGGGCGGCGCGCAGCTCAAGGAGGTCAACGTCGCGCAGCTGCTGTACAAGCGCATCCGCTGGGAGGGCAGCACGCTGCGCGCGCGCGACGAGGAGTACCAGGGCCAGCTGCGGGACAGGCTCGAGAAGTACGTCCCTGATATGGTGAGCGGGAAGCTCAAGGTGGCTGTGGATCGGGTCTTCAAGATGGAGGAGATCCAGGAGGCGCATCGGCTGATGGAGAAGAATGTTACGAGGGGCAAGATCATCTGTACTGTACCTTGATTGCGGTAGGTGAAAAGATGAAGGGCTGCGCGTGGTTTGAAGACTGGGAATATCAAAATTGTGCTTCGGACGAAGCTGGCTCTCTGCTACTCATATCTACTATGATATCCCCTTGACATCGAAATCACTTTTATCATCCCTGAACGCCACAGCAGCCCACAGCCCACGAAACTAACCGCTCAAGCCTTACAAGGCCATCTTCTCATGCAAGAAGCGCTTCTTGCCCTCCCCCTCGCCATACACAGCCGAAACCTGGCCCGTGCCGCGCACCTTATACTTGTAGATAGTCAAGCCCTCGAGCCCGACAGGCCCGCGGGCGTGGATCTTGTTGGTGCTGATGCCGACCTCGGTGCCGAAGCCGTACCGCATGCCGTCAGCCATGCGCGTCGACGCGTTCCAGTACACGCCGGCCGAGTCAACGGCGGTCATGAAGCGCTCGGCCTGGGCCTCGTCCGAGGTCAGGATCGCGTCCGTGTGGTGCGACCCGTGCGTGTTGATGTGCGCCACGGCCTCGTCCAACCCGGACACGGTCTTGACAGCTAGGATGAGTGCGAGGTGCTCAGTGTCGAAGTCGACGTCCTGAGCATCCTCGACCTTGCCATCCCCGGTGGAAGACAGCTTGCCGGCAACGGCCTTGGTCCGGGCATCGCAGCGCAGCGTGACACCCTTGGCGAGCAGGGCCTCAGCGACGGCAGGGAAGACACCGTCCAGGGCGGCCTCGTCAACCAGCAGAGTCTCGAGGCTGTTGCAGGCGGCCGGGTAGCTGGTTTTGGAGTCGACGGCGACGGCGGCTGCCATCTTGGGGTCGGCAGAACGGTCCAGGTAAGCGGAGCACAGACCGTCAGCATGGCCCAGGACAGGGATCTTGGTGTGCTCCTTGACGTAGCGCACCAGGTCGTTGCCGCCGCGGGGGATGACGAGGTCGATGTAGGCGTCGAGGCCGAGCAGCTGGGGGATGACGTCGCGGGTGGTGACGAGCTGGACGGCGGCCTCGGGCACGGCGACGCCGCTGGCGGCCAGGGCGGCGGAGATGGCGGTGGAGATGGCGACGAAGCTGTGGGTGCTCTCCTTGCCGCCCTTGAGGATGGCGGCGTTGCCGGATTTGATGGCCAGGCTGGCGATGTTGGCGATGACCTCGGGGCGGGCCTCGAAGATAATGAGCAGCACGCCGATGGGGCAGGTCATGCGCTCCAGCACCAGGCCGTCGTCCAGCTTCGTGCGCAGGTCCACGACGCCCAGAGGGTCATCTAGTCCGCGTACATCCAGAATACCCTTCAGCATGTCCTCCCACTTGCCCGCTTTGGCCAAATCCAGGCGAGACACCAGGCTTTGCGACAACTGCCCATCGGCGGCGGCCTGCCGCGCTGCATCCATGTCCTTTGCATTTGCGGCCAGGATTGCATCCTTAGAAGCTAACAGAGAGTCGTGGATTGCTGTCAGGGCGTCATTGCGGGCGCTGACGGGGAGGGTGGCGAGGAGGTGTGAGGCCGACTTTGCAGCCTGTGCAGCCTCGAGGGGACTTGAGTTTGTGAGGGACATTTTCGCTGCTGTTGGTGGCAGGTGAGGTGGGGTCAATCTACAAGTGGAAATGCAATGACAAGCTGAAGAACAAGGCAAGGCAAGGCACGACAAGGCTGAAAGTAATGATAGCCCGCCTCGTGGTAGTGGAGTTGTGGCTGTCGCTGTCGCTGATGATCGAGCTCAGTCAGAAAAACAGTCATTCAATCAGTCACCCGAGATGAAGTCATTTTCACTGTGCAACTCCCCGATCGGAGTGGCTGCCCGATCGAGTTCAACACGGCCATTGTGCATCCGAGTGCAGGCAAAAGTGATGAGAAAAGTGACATTAGCATCCTCAATAGCCTTCCTGTATAACTGACTCAGAAATAGCTGCTTACAAGTGCTGGCTCCCTTCACAAACTCTCACGAAGCTCATCGTCGTTGCTTCTCTAGGCTCCTTCGCAGGGAGGAGTCAGTCCCGGCAGGAGCCAGCCGCTGCCGGGCCGGTCTCGGCCGGATGTGGCCCGTGCGTACTCGGCATCCAGTTTGCTCGCGAGAGCCGAATCCGTCAGGCAGCCAACCAGACCTTGACCCTGACACGCCTGGCTGTCCAGGAGGGACAAAATCTGCCCAGGGACTCTGAACCACACAACACGATTATCCGAAGGGCCGAAGGACAAAACCGAGGGTGTCAAGACGACAGCCTGCTGCTGCTGTCACTGAGAATACGAAATATCGAGGCGGACTCCGCAAATGTCCAGTGTGTGTCGCCATGGTGCTGGGGGGTGGATCAGCACAACAACAGCCAGACCTCGGCACACTAGACTCAAAGGAAGAAGTCCGCCTTTTCGGATCAAAACAACGGCGGTGAAACGACCAGTCCCAGGCTAGGAATTGCCGTCTTTGCCGGTCAACTCCCGGTCTAGTTGTCTTGCAAATCCCACATGGACTCTCGTCTTCTCTCCTTGGGGCATCACTTGCTGCCATGGTTTGACTCGCGCGACTTCGGCCCATCACGAGGCTACACAAGATAGCTGCCCAGAGTCCAGGCAATCATGGACTCCATCTGCCATTGGGACAGCCCTCCTGGGCCAGTCACACAAGATGCCCTCGACTTGGGGCGGGCCAGGCCCCCAAGCAGTGGGCGACTCGGTCAGCTACATTGATCCCCGACAAATATCGTGCTGCATGCCCGATGCACCAGTCGGTCTGCACGAGCGCCATCGACAAGGTGAAGTGGGTATAAACGAAGGCCGGCGCACCCCCTTCCCTAGCGGCCGAGTGTCTGTTGCAAGCGTGCCTTCATCCTTAATCCTTATTCCCGGCTATCTACCGAAACATCTATGCTAGGGCCCTTCAGATCCTGCAGCTACTGCTGCTCCTCCCATCGTTGACTCCTCATTGCCACTTGCACTTCCTCTCTGCGGGCTAAAAACAATCTTTTGTGCTTGCTCCCGCCTGTTTGCCGTCCGACCTAAAATTGCCCAACCCGTATTGATTGCAATCCGGCCTAAACGTTGATCACTTGAGAATATAATCCCACATAATCCTAATAATTTACTGTGAATCTCTTGCCGCATTCCGGACCAAGAAGTGTCCTGATTCATTCCGAACCAAACTCCCACCCCGGCGCCGGTTGCGGGCCCCGAAGCACAAGGTTCCGGCTTGGCTATGGCAGCAGACCCAGAAAAGAATGAGGGCGGTGCCGTAACTCAAACACATCTTGGCACAGCCGACCCGGACAAGAAAGCAGACACCGACGAAAATACTGCATCGGTGGGCCGCGGCGACAGCGACTCAGATTCTCACCACGCCGCAGACAGCCACGGCGAGGTTGACGAGAAATCCCGCCACTCCATCGGTCAAGACGAAGAAGACGACGACGATGAAGAACATAGCCAGCATCACGACCCAGAACCCGAAGGACCAGAGGGCCTCAATACCGGCTTCCCCCCGGACACGGAAGGCGGCGTGAGCAGGTCCCACTCCCGGGCGTCATCGGCACGGTCACGGCCCCTGATCGTCGTGCCCCGGAAGGAGAGGAGAGGCCTCTTTGCCCAACTCGCACTCATCCCGGAGGTAGAACGCCCGTATGACTATTCCCGAAAAACAAAATGGACCATCACCACGATTGTGGCCGTGGCTGCTGCCGGTGGTCCTATCGGGTCTAACATTTTCTACCGTATGTGTTACACAAGCCCCGTCAGACGGCGGCAGGAGACGTCCATTTCGCGGCCGCTGACAGTATCACAGCCGCCTTGTCGGACATGGCCGAGTACTTTCACACCTCCGAGACTATAGTGAACTTGAATGTGGCATTTTACATGCTCTCAATGTCCATCTTCCCGCTGTGGTGGTAAGTCCCTATTCTGACAACCATCCACAGATCGTCCTGATTTAAGGCGTCTTATCATGCAACAGGTCATCCTTCTCCGAGACACTTGGTCGGAGGACAATATACGTCATCTCCTTCAGCCTGTTCGTCGTCTTCAGCGTCCTGAGCGCAATCAGCACCAACATCGCCATGCTGATCGTCTTCCGCGTCCTCGGCGGCGGCGCTGCAGCCTCGGTTCAGGCCGTTGGCGCAGGGACTATCGCTGATCTCTGGGAGCCCTTCGAGCGAGGCCGGGCTATGGGTATGTCATTGATCAATACTACCAAATGCAAGACCTACCTGCTGACCAGAATATCACAGGAACATTCTACCTCGGCCCCCTCGCCGGCCCGCTCTTTGCGCCCATCGTGGGAGGCGCCCTCGCGCAGGGCTTCGGCTGGCAGAGCACCATGTGGTTCCTGACCTGCTTCGGCGGCGTCAACTTCCTTAGCATAGTCTTCTTCCTGCCCGAGACGCTAGCCCGGCGCAAGCCAGCCGCAGCAGCCGCGGGCACCACCACCGCCACCGACAACAACAACAACAATCTCGACAGGACAACCTCCCTAGCCCGCATGTCGACGCGGCAGTCCGTAGCCGTCAAGACCAAGCGCGGCGCCGCGCTGCTGCGCAAGGCCTTCATCGACCCGCTGTCCTGCATCCTGTACCTGCGGTTCCCGCCGGTGGCGCTGACGGTGGGGTTCGCGGCGATCGCGTTCGGGGCGCTGTTCGTGCTCAACATCTCGGTGCAGAGCACCTTCGCGGCGCCGCCGTACGGCTTCTCCGTCGTCGTCGTCGGCCTGCTGTACATCCCCAGCTCGCTCGGCTACTTCATCTCGTCGCTGTTCGGCGGCAAGTGGGTCGACAGCATCATGCTGCGCGAGGCCGAGAAGGCCGGGCGGTACGACGAGCACGGGAGGCTCGTCTTCCTGCCTGAGGACCGCCTGCGCGAGAACGCGTGGCTTGCTGCTAGTATGTATCCTGCTGCGATGCTGTGGTTTGGGTGGTGTGCGGATAAGGGCGTCTTCTGGCTTGCGCCTATGGTGGCCAACTTCTTCTTTGGGTTTGCGACTATGCTTGTTTTTGGTGCTGCGACTACAATGTTGACTGAGTTCATGCCTAAGAGAAGCTCCAGCGGTGTCGCGCTGAATAATTTCATCCGGAATATTTTCAGCTGCGTGGGCGTGGTTGTCACGGAGCCGTTGATCGGTGTTATGGGTGTGGGGTGGCTGTGTACCATGGTGGCGCTATTTGCGTGGATTACTGGGAATTTGTGCATATGGCTCTTGTTGAGGAATGGGTCTAAGTGGAGGAAGCTGATGGACGAGAAGATGGGGGATGTGAGGTGAAGCATTGAAGCTATTAGATATACTCATATCCAGCTATTTGGCTCAAAGAAACGCCTCTTTACCTGCTGAAGCGAATTATACGGGATCACAACCCAGAGACTGCGTTAGCAGTGAGTCTCGATGGCACTGAGACGTAGCGAGTCCCTCCTTTGGGTGGAGCGAGGACCCCTGAAGCTTAAAGCCGATGAAGTCACCGTCCCGGTCGCCCGTCTGGGGTAAGCAACCCGGGGATGCGGGGAAAAGCTTCAGCCCTCCATTCGCCCTTGCAGACGGGCAACCTCGGTGACCACGGATCTGTATCGGCAGTATATCTTGCAGATTTCCCTTGAAGCATATTTGAGCCTCAGATCTACCACCGTCTCCTCATGTTCTAAACATTTTGCTCACATACATTAGTTACAGGTGTCCATATGTCATTCAAACCCTGGCCTTGACTTACACGTATACGTATATGCTACATAGATACCAAGACTCATTTCTCATCTCATCCAGCCATTTATTACTCACTTCAGCCATTGAGTTACTCATCTTCTCTTCAAAGCTGCCATGGCTCACCCCCAAGACCACCTTCACACCACATCCCTCACGGACCCGGAGTCCTTCTGGGCTCAGCAAGCCGCACACCTGGACTGGCACAAGAAGCCCACCACCATCCTGCGCAAGTACACCAAGACCCTCCCTAAATCAAAGACAACCCATGACCATTGGGAGTGGTTCCCAGACGGCGAGATCTCGACATGCTACAACTGCGTCGACCGCCACGTGCAGGCAGGCCACGGCGACCAGCCCGCCATCCTGTACGACAGCCCCGTCACAAACACAAAGCAGCGCATCAGCTATGCGGAGCTGCAGGATGAGGTCTCGGCCTTCGCGGCGGTGCTGCGCGATGAGGGCGTCGGCAAGGGCGACACCGTCCTCGTCTACATGCCCATGATCCCCGCCGCGCTGATCGGCCTGCTCGCGGTGTCCCGGCTCGGCGCCATCCACGCCGTTGTGTTTGGTGGCTTTGCACCCAATGCCCTCGCGCAGCGCATCGATGCGTCGCGGCCCAAGGCTATCTTGACTGCCTCTTGTGGTATTGATGGGAATAAGCCGCCGATCCCGTACCGGGATTACATCATTGAGGCTGAGAAGCTTGCGAAGTGGAAGACACCGCGGACGGTCGTCTGGCAGAGGGAGCAGCTCGCTTGGCACCCGCTGGACCGGGCGAGGGGTGAGAGAAATTGGAATCGGCTTGCGAGGAGTGCGAGGATGAGGGGCCAGAGGGTGAAGGAGTGTGTCCCCGTCAAGGGAAGCGATGGGGTGTATGTGATTTATACCAGTGGCACGACTGGGCTGCCGAAGGGCGTGGTCCGCGATGCTGCTGGCCATGCGGTGGGTTTGAGTTTATCCATGAGGCAAATGTTTGGCATTCAGGGGCCAGGTGATGTAGTGAGTATTTGCAAGCCTTGGTGCGAGACACTGAATGTTTAGAGCTGACTGATATTGCCTGGAAAGATGGCCTGCTTTAGCGACATAGGCTGGGTTGTGTCACACAGCTATACGCTCTACGGTCCCCTCCTCGTCGGGGCCGCCACCGTGTTGTACGAGGGCAAGCCGGTCGGCACTCCTGACCCAAGTTCGTTCTGGCGGATGATCGAAGAGTACAAGGTGAACGCAATGTTCACAGCACCGACTGCGCTCAGGGCCATTCGCAAGGACGACCCACAGAACAAGCACATCACCAAGATTGGCGAGAGAGGTGGCTTGAGGTCGCTCAGGGCCATGTTCCTAGCTGGCGAACGGTCCGAACCAGCGATCATCACGATGTATCAGGACCTACTCGGCAAGTACGGTGATGATAAAATTGGCGGTGGGAAGGTCATTGACAATTGGTGGTCTTCCGAGTCTGGCTCGCCCATCACAGGAATCTCGATGACGCCTCATGTTGTAAATAACCTCGCAGCGAAATCTCCGTTGTCTATCAAGCCTGGCAGTGCTGGAAAGCCTATGCCTGGGTTTGATGTGCGGGTAGTGGACGATGAAGGTAATGAGCTGGGGAAGGGAAAGATGGGAAACATAGTTCTTAAAATGCCTTTGGCCCCGACTGCATTTCGGACTTTGTGGGAGGATGAAGAGAGGTTTTATGGAGGCTATCTCAGAAGATTTAATGGGAATTGGTTGGACACTGGTGATGCTGGTATCGTTGACAAAGACGGATATGTCCATATCATGGCCAGGTCTGGTAAGTCGAATCTTGGGGTACCTATTTGCTGCAATGAATGGGTTTTGTCTGACCGCTTCTCCAGACGATATCATCAATGTCGCTGCCCATCGTTTAAGCACAGGTAAGCTCTTAACCCTCAATCCTCTACCTCTCACCTTATGGTCCATCCTTTTCCATTTTCTTGCCTTCTGGTCCCCACCTTCTCGTCTCTACAGATTGGATCTCGTTCGGTTCGACTTATACAACTTTGCAGGAACACTGGAGCAGGCGATTACCTCCCACCCCCAAGTGACCGAAGCCTGCGTAGTCGGCATTCCCGATTCTATGAAAGGCCAGCTCCCCTTCGCCTTCGTCCTCAGTTCCTCCAGCAGCACTCTCGACGATACCCAACTGCTCTCCGAAATCCAGAAGCTCGTCCGCACCCAAGTCGGCCCAATCGCATCCCTTGGTGGAATGATCAGAACGACCACCACCGCCAAGCCTATCATCCCCAAGACACGGTCAGGCAAGACCCTCCGAAGGGTACTGCGCGAGCTGCTGGAGAACGCTGTCCACGGCGAGTTTGACAAGAACGTCAGCGTGCCCAGTACGGTTGAGGACGCTAGTGTTGTTGACACTGCGAAAGGTGCTGTGAGGGAGTACTTTGAGAAGAGAGGCGAGGCACATCGCGCTATTGAAGCGAGGTCGAAGCTCTGAGACTTTCGTCTTGAATTTCTCAATACCACCTTCATTTGCAAAGTTCAAGTCTTCCCTGGCTTTTCAATTTTGTGATCCATCAACTGCCACAACTTTTATTCTTGCTTCCCCAAAACCCTTCCAGTTCAGATCTCACAACACCCAACCACCTTGTCGCGGCGCGACGCGACCCGACGCTCGACTTACACATACCCAGCATCGACAAATTCAGTAATTTCCAACTGCCTGTGCCTTTGACCGTACATATTCCGAACCAAGGACATATGTACTACAATATTCAAGGGTATCTTCACGACGGTCTTGTCGTTTGTTCTCTCCCAATCTTTTCAGCACTTCACCTCTACTTTTCAAACCCCCACCTCCTTACAACTTTGACTGGAGACTTTGACAACTCGCTCCCTAACTTCGACATACACGCCGCTCGATCCTTCTTACATCAAGCCTCACTTTCGATACGTCCTCAAATTGAAAAGCCCAGAGTGGGTCAACTTTCGTTTTACAACCCCAAAGACACTTCTCATCATCTGAGTCACGCAAAGTCGCCACTCGATACGATCACAATCATCATCGCTTGACAAGCGATATTGAACCGAAATGAGCTCACAGGCTCATGAACAGTCGCCGCTTGAGCGGTCAAAGGCTGGATCGACTACACTGAGCCAGAAGTATCAGACAGATGTTGACAACCTCCTCACCATCCAAAGCATAGAATACGAAAAGCGCATCCTTGATCTTGAAAAGACCCTACAATCAGAAAAAGAGCGCACTGACATTCTGACAAGCGAACTTTCGACTTGCAAGAAAGAAGCCAAAGACAAGATTACGGAGGTGAAAGCCGAGTATGCGTCGGAAAGACTCAAGTATGGAGCAGTAAAGCTTGAACTCAAAAAGGCAGAGAATGAGCTCGAGAAGGCGAAATGTCGGCCCACAGGCCTTCAAGAAGACCTAGATGCTGCCAGACAGCAAAATCTTGACCTCCAGAAAGAGGCCGCAGCCGTCAAGCATCATCGGGCGGAACTCCTGAACGAACTTGCTGCTGTTAAGCAGCGTGAGAGCGACCTCCATGCCAAGCTCGAAAGTGCCGACCAGCGTGTCTCCGCAATCGAGACTGATTTTGATACTCTTCGGTTTGGCTTCAACCAGTTCAACGAGCGCATGGCCGCCTCGAGATCTTCCTCAATGGAAAATTCCACAAGAAATCGACCTGCACATGCGTCCTCTCCGTCCGTCAACCCACAGGATAGCATGCGGGACCGCGTGCAGGAGAAAAGCATCGGGGCTCAGATCCCTAGCCACCACTTCCAGGCTTCGACCGTTACTTCACACCCAGCAAACAATTTGAACGACAAGGAGCCTGATTTCTCCTTCTGCCAATATGTTTTGAAGCAAGTCATGGATCAGAAGCACCGGCAGTACAACCAACATTTCTTCAAGCCTTTGGATACCATGAGTGCAAAGCTGGGCAATGGCGATTACAATTCTTCTGAATCCTTCAAGGCGGATTTCCACCTTATGATCGCCAATACCAGAAAGCTCAACGAGCCTGACAATGTTATGCGCACCGCTGGTGAGCAACTGCACAGGATCTTTGAGGAGGCCTGGTCCGTACCTCGCATCTCTAGCCACGAACCTCCTGGCAGAGCAAACTCCAAGAAACGAAACAGCACTCAGAAGCGCAAGGCCCAAACTGAGAGTCTTGTCTCGTCTAAGAACACACACGCTCCAAAGCGGCGTGCTCTGGCAACACCCGAGCACATCTTTGACCATGTTCACCTTGAGAGTCCCGGTTTCGCCTTGAGTTCCTCTAAGCAATCCAAGAAAACTCCCAGTGGACCTGGAGAAGCTGATACATACTCTTTGAGAAGAAAAGTCACATTCAGCAAGCGTTTCAAGATCGATGCCAACCCGGAGGTCATACCTAAACTTGCTAGCCTCATCAAGTCGCCGAGTACCCTCCCTGACGATTGGCAGCCTTTGCTTCCGGGCGAGTATCGCATTATGACTTTAGCCACAGGGTTTGTTGATCTGGGAAGTCGAATCAGAAATTCAAGGATCGACCCTAGCAGTGACACCATTGTCTTCAGATTGATACCCGCGACCGAGGCTGACAAGCCAGAGTTCGATCGCGTTCTCTCGTACCTCGTCAAAAGGGACCAATACGCTGCTGTCAAAGATGAAGGAGTCAACAACGTTCAGAACATATACCTCATACCTTCATCGAAACTGGACTCTGATCACACTTTATCGATCTCCTTGGACCACGACCTTCGGCGCCCCGCTGGGACTGAGGCTGTGCTCTTCATGCTAATTGTGTTTGATGTGGCGGAAGACAAGAAGAGACAGGTCCGACAGGCCTGGGATGGCCTGATCAAGGCTATCAAGAATCCTGACTTTGAAGGCTTTGCTGCCATGCGCGACGTCCTCGTACACCAACCTCTTCCCTTCTTTGATTCAGATGATGCGGTGTGGCGTGGTCGTGATCAAAGGCCGTTTCGCAGCAACCTACCTTGTTCTCAGGCAATCGCAGTCCCCAAGCTACTAGAAAGTGCTCAAGACATATTCCATCTTTCTTACACTGAGCGGGATCGAGATTCGCCTTACAGCGTCGACGGTGTCAGCTTACCGAAATGCGTCTGTGTTCTTGGAACGTGCAGCATTCAGAGTAAGAAACCTATTGTGCTTGTCTTTGACATACAGCACATGGACCGACCGCTCTGGGTCATCCGAGATCGCCGGTTGCAGCGGCTTCATTTCGATTTTACGCTGTTGAGAAGTAAATTTCCTGGTTCCTTGGATGAGTGGGAGAACACTATGACCGCAGCACTCCGTGCAGACCAATCCGCAAAATGCCTGGAGTACATTGAGATGAAGATAGAGCGCTGTGGAAACTCTAACTAGGTAATGTGGCAGGAAGTACGTTGGGCGACATGGTGACATTGTTGGAGGAACAATTCCATCGACAGCAAGATGATACTGCCATGGCAAAAGTCGTACTCGAGAAACAAGGTCAAATACCTATTTAATTACTCGGAAGTCAACAGACGCCCCAAGAAGACCCTCAGTGCACATTATTTCACGCATTCACCATACATCTTAGCTGTTGCAAGACCACATGATGTGCATATGCGTGTATGTGGATGAGCATGACTCCTTCTGTTGTGCTTCTCCTCTATCTATGCTTTCTGATCAGCTCCTTTCCTTCCTTGAGGCACTCGTGGTCGCTTTTGTCATGACCAAGTGTTTATAAGCCTGTATCATATCTGAAGTACTCGTAACAAGGCCCTGAAAAATTAAACCGGGGACTCATCATCGCCGCCGTTCCTGGCCGCTTGGGATTTGCTATACCGCTACCACTCTTTGCTCACCTCAATTGTGGCCAACAAGCCACCAGACATCAGTGTCTCTGATAAATTCCAGCAATCAGCATAGGCAGCTCGTGGTCTCCGCGTGCTGGTAGTATACCTCCCAGCCCGGGTTCAAAGCAACGTCAGACCCAAGCATACGTGACCGAGACACGAAAGTAACACATCCAGGCGAGTCACACCATGAAAATACTCAAGCATCGCTTCAGTGAAACCCAAGCCCATCACAGAGCTGACCTGCTTCCTTAAATGAGAAAGCAGCTCCAACAACGGGGAGCAAAGTCATGACATTCTCAGGTGAGCCAGAACGCCCGGCACCCCACAAACCACTTTCTTAGCATCGATGCTATTTTATTCTTTTCTCTACGCACAGTACCTAATACTAATCTCCCCGCCTCACAGAAAGGGGGGAAAAGAGCAAGCCCACAGAGCTCACTCAATGATCAACGCCGGCGGAACAAGCCTCCCACCCGTTGTTCTGCACCGCAAGCCCGGACCAGAACGGACCGGACCCGACCAGACTAAAACACCAGCGAAGCCAGACAAATGTCCCGATCCGATCCTCGCAAAACTATTAACCATGCATCCATCCGTCCACGCAAGATTATGATATGATATGTACATATGATAACGTACACATGTACACGGCTCCAAAGAGACAGGACAAGGCGGGAGGGAAGGGAAAAGCCAGAGGCGCAAGAAGGTGACCGTACTAGGGTAATAGGTAGGTATCAAAAGGGGTTTGGTAGAAGTAGGTAAAGTAGGTAAGTAGGTAGAGAGATAGGTATCCAGAAGAAGTCGAAAAGGAAAAAGGGGGGAAAAAAACTCCAAGAGGCCCAAGGGAGGTGGTGGCTCAAGTATCTATGTACAGTTCAGCGACCAAGTGGTGCACCAGGTCTGTCCGTCTCACTTGATCACCCTCTTGTTAGGCTCTCTCTCTCTCTCTATCCGCTCTCGCTCGCTTCCTGCTTCTCCTTCCTCCTCATCGTCTCTTCACACGCAAAAGGGGGTAACACGCGACAACAACAACAACAACAACAACAACACGCAGCACGCCAACAATTCATTCCTGGGATTTCCCCCTTTTCATAACGACATCAAATCATAGTCATCAAGCCAAAAAGGACACAGTCCCGGCCCCCGGGGCCCCAGCCGCATTTGTCGTGCCCTCTATCAACTTGGCTTGCTCAACCACCTCAGGCCCTCCTCAGCGTTGCACTTCTGTAACACCAATCCGTCCATCCGTCATCAGCGGTTACAAGACGCAGGCCGAGGTGTTCCCTACTCGCCCCGGCCGCGATAGCTCCCCATCTGCTGGATGGAACTCATCAGCCCACCCGGCCTCGCGAGCCCGCTGCCAGGCCGCGCGATGCCGGTGACATTGCTCTGCGTCCGGCCGTGCGCGGGGGCGATGCCGGTGACGCCGCCGCCGATCTTGGGCTGCCCGGGTGGCTTTAGCCCCGACAGAGTGGGTCCGCCGCCGCCAGGTCGCCCGATCATGCTGTTGCGGTAACCTGACTTGGTCGTGCCGGGGATGCCGCTGGGGCTGGCGCCGCCGGCCTTCTTGGGCGTCATGGTCGAGGGCCGTGAGAAGCCGCCCGCGGTCGTGTTGCTCCTGGCCGGTGGGGGCGCCGAGGCGCGCTGTGGGACGCGCTTGGGAGTCACGGCGGGGATGTGGTGTTGGGCAGGTTGCTCGTGATGTTGCTTTTGTTGCTGCTGATGGTCGTTGCCGTTGGTCTGCGCCGCAAGGGTCTGCTGGGCCTGCATCTGCATCAGCTCCTCGGCCAGGGTGACGAGCTCGCCCTTCTCGACGCGCTCGCTCTCGAGCTGCTGTCGTAGGTCGGCGTTGTCGCCCTGGACGGTGCGGACCACCGCCTCGAGCTTCTCTACCTCGGCCTGCAGTTCCTTGATCTGCGCTGAGTCCTTGATGGCCTGTGCCTTGCGCTCCTCCTCGAGCGCGGCCCTCTCGAACTCCACCTTGGTCATGGTAGCGTCGCGTCCGAGCTTGAGCTCCTCGTTCTCCTTGTTCAGGGCCTCGATCTTGCCCTCGAGCTCCCTAATCTTCTTGTCCCAGCGTCCCTCGTAGGTCTTCTTGAGCGCAGCAACCTTGTCCTCGTGCTTCTTTTTGTACGCGGCGTGGAGCTCCCTAGCCACCTTTTCCACCGCAACCTCTATTTCGCGTTGGGACGCTCTGCTGCCGGGGCTCTTGACACCGCCTGGCGAGGCCGCCGCCTCTGCACTGGCCTCGCGTGCGCGCATGGAAGCCATCCTGGCCTCTGCCTCCTGTGCCATCATCTCGGCGGCCTCGCGGCGGCCCTCGGACTCCTCGAGCTTGGACTCGAACTCCTCACGTTCTCGGCTTGTCGTCATGATCTCCTCTTTGACCTGGCGCAGCACCGTCTCCATCTCTCGGCCTCGCTTCTCCCACATGTCTTTCTCCTCGGCGTACTGCTCCCTCAGGCTGCGCTCCTCACGCAGGTGTTCCATTGACTCGCTGGCCCGCTTCTCGGCCTCGGTCATGGCTGTTTTTAACGAGATGACCTCGGCATCTTTCCCACTCAATGTTGCTCTCAGGCTGCTGATCTCGGACATGAAGTTGGACTTTAGGCTCTCCAACTCCCGAGCGCTGATACTTGGAAGGCTGCGTGGCGTAGGCATTGGGGGAATATCGAAGTCTAGCAGGTTCGCGATGTTCTGTCGTTGAGGTGTCTTTTTCGCGTCTGCCATGTTCAGGTTTTTTGTGGGGGAGGTACGGCCTCCGCCTGGGAAGCGCAGGTTGTCGGTGAAGTCGAGCAGGTTAGTGGTTGTGGACTCGCGGCGTGGGTCTTCCCGTGCTATCTGCGTTGGCGTGCGTCCGCCCAGACGGGCAAAGGTGGTCATGTTGGGAATGGCGGAGAAGTTGCTAAAGGTGCTCATCATGGTCTCATCGCCTGCAGTCTCGTCTTGGCTGTCACTTGGGGGAGTTTGGGCTTCCATGGGGCCCTTAACGGTGCCGCCTTCCTCATCAATACCACTGTCATCGTCGTCGTCATCATCTATACTACTGATGGAGTCCTCGAAGATCTCAATCGCGTGCTTGACACCTGGATTTTGTGCAATCGCCTCCTCGAGGGACATCTCCTTCTCTTGAGTCGTTCCATTCGTGGTTGTTGTTGCTGTTACTGGTGACGGGGCCGGAGACGATGCGGCATCCGACTCGCTCATGTGTCGCTCGCGTGGTGCAGCATGCATGGACTGCGGCCGCGACCGCGTGGTGGAGTCTATGGAGTTGATCTTGACGGGGAAACGGCGCATGGGAGAGACGGACTTTCGCGGGCTCTTGGGCGCTGGCGGGGCCAGCTTCTCGTCGGCCTCTGGTATTGGGCCCTCTGTGCTGGAGCGCTGCAGCATCTTGAGGGGCGAGATCTCGGAGCCGGACATGATCCTGGAGCGGCGCTTGTCCTTAGAAGGCGAGACATTCTCCTGGTTGGACGACTGGCTCTGGTCGTCGACGCTGGCGACAAAGGGAGAGCTGGCGCCTTCCAGGCTGTCAGCGCCGGTGGAGTTGCGCTGGTGGGTGTTGGAGTGGGTATGGGACTCGACTGCGTCTTCGAATTGGTCTTCCATGTCGTCGACGTACGTGGCGGAACCATTAGGTGCCGCGTGGTGCATTGGCGTTGGCGAGAGAGGAGAGCCCATCAGCGGGTGCACAACTAACTGCACACAACAACGGACGGTTGGTGTTTGTGTCGTGTCGTGTCAGATGGGACAAGTTGGGAGCGAATGTCGAGTGACAAGTGTCAAATTGTCTGTCGATCGAGTGGAATGTCGGAGCTCGGTTGTCTCGTCTCGTCTTGTGTCGCGTCGACTTCGTCCCGTAGGTTTGGGTTGGGCGATCAATAGGGGAGTGTCGTAGTCGATGCAACTCGGCACATGGAGTGGATTACGGCGCAATGTTAAGGTGTGGGTATGGGTATGGGTAATTAGTGCGGTGTCCGTTAGATTAGATTAGAGGAGGGAGGGAGGGACAGAGCGGCGGAGAGAGCAAATGTGCATGTAATATTGGACGATCTTGAGGGCGGAGTGGGAGTGGGATTGAGGGTTGGGAGTGAGGGTGAGGGTGGACAGGAGGTGGAGAGCAGCAGCGACACTGGGCACTTTCAATGTTGCGCTTTGACGTTGACGCGACAGGACAGGCAAGACAAGAGACAGACGGGAGACAGACGGAGTATCTGCTGCTACTGCTGCTGCTGCTGCATGCACAGTTAGTGCAAGCCAAACCAAACCAAACCAAACCGCCAGGAACAAGGCACAGGAGGCACAGGCACAGGCACAAGCATAACACACTCATAACACACACAGGCGCACACAACAACAGCCTTGGAAGCTTGGCCCTCTCTGCCCTGTGCCCTCTAAATTCAGGTGGGGGCCCCCCGTTTCCCTCCTCTATCTCTCCGCCCCCTTCCACTGACCCCCTCTCCCTGCTCAAGAGAAGGAGTCATCCCAAAAAAAAAAACAAAGGAGACGGCGGCATCGGCACGGCAACGCTAAGGGGGGTCCCCTGCGAGGTGCAGCAGCAGCAGCAGCAGTAGCAAATGCACCGCAGCGAACTGGCAAGGTGCACTGCAACCGCTAATGCAACTGCAACGGCAACGGCAACGGAATGAAGGGTGGCACGTGCGTCCATGCCATCCCACTTGCCTGGCACCTGCTTTGTTTCCCTCATCTCATCTCATCTTATCTTTTGGCGTGGTTGCGCTTGGGGAAACGAGCCGTCAAAAACAAATAAGCACCTTACTCTCTGCCTGCATCATGCACCAGCCAGCCAGCCACTCTGGCAGGAGACATACAGACATACAGACAGACAGGCAGAAGACATACACATGTACATACATATTGTACAATGCAATTCAATGCAATGCAATATTAGACACCCTGACGACTGCTTCAACGGTCGGCCACACGCATGCACGTATGCATGTGATGGCACCCCCAGTCTAACTTCCCATCATCCAGGCTCTACTGTCCCCTGCCAAACGAGCAAGCGAAAGTCTGAGATGGGCGGGCAGACAGATAGAGAGACAGACAAGCCAGACGGACAACCGCAAGACGCGAAACACTCAACAACTTCCCCAACCGACACCCGGGCACGAGCACCCAAGACATACTCTATTCCATCTCGAAACACCCGCAGAAAGCATATATCCCACCCAATCCCATCGCCCAAAAGGCACCCTTCAGTTCCCATCTCAGACAAAGGGGGATTTAGTATTCTCAGACTACCTCCCCTCCCGCCTGGGCAACAAAGAAACACCCCGACCAGAATGAAAAAATGTCAATGACATAGCTCCTTTTCTTTGATCCCTTCCAATCCCACGTGCCAACTAATTTTAGTCCATGCCCTAATAATAACAGAGCTGGAATGCATGACGAGGACGTTCTAGAACGGGCAGAACAAAGGGTGCACAGAAGGGGGTGCGGACAGGCAGACTGACAGACAGACAGCAAGCACATGGCAAGCCCGTTGATCGTGGCAACGGCCCGTCCGTTGCCCTGGTGGGAGTTCCCGCCCCCGCCCCCCGTGCATGCGTGGACTGCGAGGTTGGAATGTGACGTCTGAGAGAAACGTCAAGCTAGCCCTCGAGCCGCTTGCATATAGTCAGTTACAGTTTGTCTCAGTGTCTAAGCTGTGACCTTCAGGTCTTGCTGCTGGAGTGCATCTCCCTCTTTCGTACTTTACAAATCCTGGTGTCTAGCATAGACTGCTCTTACAAAGACACCAGGCATCTAATCTCATCTCACAACTTTCTAGAGGCAATGGAGGCAGTGGGACATTAGGTAATTTTCAAATCGTCTAGGTCTTGTTTGTATTTGTCACTTGTTTCCCCAGGAAGAAAAGAAGAGAGTAAAAAAGGAAAAAGGGCGTACGGCCTTTTTTTCCCCAACCCCTCCCCCATCCTTCTTCTGCGGTTCGGAACAAAAAAAAGAATAGTAACTCCCGTCATAAGCTCGTTACATGAGATGGTGTGCCAGAAACCCATTCAAAAGTAGATCAACTCGGAACACATCCCATATCCAAACAGCAAACTGTGGAAAGGAAAATAATCTTCCCCAGGGAGCTTTCCAGGCCATAAGAGACAGAGCAGCGCCCCACGAGGTTGCCTGGCTCACTGTTGCTCGCCCACGTCCTCTTTTCCCCCGGGCGTCTCTGGTCCCTTTGGCCAACCTCCGCAGCACAGCTCATCTTCATCTCTCCACTCAATAATAATAACTCACTGCTTTTCGGGTTCATCGAAAGAGAATCAAGAATTCGTAAAGTCATCACCGGAGGCCGATTTGAGACAGTAAAACTAAAGGAAAGAAGCCAAAGAAACATGGCGTGATAAACCCCCGGGCTCTGTTCAGAAGGGCCCTCGGAGTTCGAAGCAAACATGCGCGTCGGTTTTGTCTCTGCCAGCACCAGCGGTCATATCCATTGGATGCGAGGCTTGGGCGGCAAAGACACCGAGCTTGTCCGACGACTGACCCGGGCCGTAAGTGCTGCTAGGCTGGGCTGGCTGTGTTTGCCAGGCTTCTTGTCTGTCTGTCCGCTACAGCTCGGGGTCGCAAATCTGCTTTTCATGAACAAAACATAGAAAGAGCAGGAGAAAGGAAAGGGTGGTCGCGGTGGACTCCACGAGAGGGGGGTTGGATTGGGAATCCAACGAAACGGAGAGACCTCGGGCCTAAAACAGGCTCAGAGAGCCTGTTCTCCTGTCCACCGCCCCCCATGGTGCCAGCCGTGAAATGCAGATGACAAGGCTCTCTCTGTCGCGGCGATAAAGACCTCTCATGCAGATTCCATAATTCGTCAACCGTTTACATCCATCATGGTAGGCATTGAACACAAAGTTGTTCGGAAACGATACTTTTCCGTGCATGCGTCGTAAGCGTCATCATCGCGTCTGGTGCAGAGCGGGAAGTGTCGATGAATCGTATGTGTGCGCTTGCTTGCTTGCTGTGGTGTTGTTGTTTGTCGCAAAAAGAAAAGAGTAACAGGTACAGATGGGGATTAAAAGCAAAGAAAGAATAAGGGAGTGTTCTGATAGCGATTCTCCAGGTCGAGTTTGGGTCATCGATATAGACCAAAGTTGTGCGTGTTTAGCATTAGCCATTCCGTCATTTCATGAGTTGGAGCCCCCGAAAAGAACTGCCACAACGCCTCTATCGTTTTAAACCCAGGCCGCAGTCAAGAGCTTCGCAAACGCACACCCCAAGTCCCGGATCAAGCACGTCCTATCGTCGTCGTGTAGGGGCAGCGACGGCAGGTGCCGGTTGGTAAACCTGCGCGGGCGCCGTGTCGAGTGCCAACGTCTTCCTTCGCTTCATGTCCATGCCGGGTCCGCCGCTCAGGGGCCGCTGCTCCTCTTCATCGTCCCGGCCGCGCTTCATCCCGCCGGCCCCATTCATGGGCGCTGGGGCGTAGCCGTTCTGCATCGAATTGTTCATGTCGGTGTGGGACGCATAGTCACCATTTGTCGGGGCCCTGTCATTGCTCACAACGTTGTACATGCCAGACTGCGATGACGTCCGGGGTGAGGTGTTGTACCCTTGTTGAGGGTAGTACGCCTGAGGAGGTGCTGCGCTGCGCGGCGTTGACCGACCTGAAGCTCCCTGGTGGCCCGCAGATCCGGCCATCTCAGGAGACAGGTGTGGATGGTCAGACTGAATAGGGGCCAAAGGAGGAGCGCTGTAATTGTACTGGCTGTTCCCAGTATCATATGTGCTCCGGTCATGGGTGTACTCAGCCTCATGCTCGTGTTCTGCTTCGTCCTCGGGGCCTTGCTGGCCCACGTGCTCACTGCCTTGGCTCGAGTAGCCGTTGGCGGGCTTGTTGTCTTGGTCTGTAGGAAGACCTGATATCGAAGGACGACTTGATGGCGGACCCATCTCACTCTTGACATAATTGCTCTGAGCGTACATCGAGCGATCCTGTGGGCTGGTATTTGCAGTCTGGTACGGTGACTGCAGTGGCGGCGCGTTGTATTGCCGAGAGTTGTCATACGGCTGGGTCGCGGGAGGGTAGGAAGACATGCTCTGTATGCTGCTTCCAGGGGGTGTGGTCGCTGGAGTTGCGGGCATTGAGCGAGTGTTGCTAAGGCTAGTATCGATGGACATGGGATGAGTACCTTGAGAACCATTCATCCCCTGTTGTTGCGGCCACTGATAGTTTTCTCCCCCCATGCTTCCCATCACGCTAGAGGCACTCGTGGGAGGGGTGGGGAACGTGTGCGCACGGTCGAGGGAAGGTCGGCCGTGGGATGAGAGAGGAGGTTGCGGAAGTCCCATTGAGTGATGGTGAGTTTGTTGCTGCAGTGAGGGTAATGGTGCCGGTGGTTGTGTGTTTCGCATTTGCGTCTGCTGCTCCTGCTTGCGGCGCTCTGCAGCCTGCATGACTTGCGTCGTGCGGTTCTGGTTGGTTGGGTGGTAAAGAAGCGCACCAATGTTGTGCACAAACAAGGGGTACAGCAACTCAGTGATTTTCTCCTTGTTGGCGAAATCCAGAGCTCTCTCAAAAGGGATCCTGCTACAGGGTCAGAAAACAACTCTCAACTGCGGATTTTTTTCAACATGATTTGATGCATACCAGACACCCTTCAGGTGCATAGGACCGATTTTAACAACATGCCGAACCTTCTCACTCTTCAAGATTCCATCCCGTCTGCCCCGGGTCATACCTGCGACGTTGAGCAATTTGGTACCGTTGATCATGTGGTTGTCTGCAAAATTGTTAGTCTCGCTACTATGTGAATAATACATCACTGGAGCATACCTTCTCTGCGTGCTACACAGATGCCTCTGGCCTCGACCTGGAAGCACAAGCTGCCTTCATCCTCCCAAAGTGTTGCTGTTACTCTGGGTTTCATGCCTGGAGGTGCCACTTGGCCAGTCGTGTCAAAACCACTGTACTGGTTAGGCATTCCAGGTTGTCCTGGAAGCGGGAGCACATTTTGCGGCATGCCACCAGACACTGGAGCCGCAGGCGGAGAAGTGAGACCATTCGCGTAGCCGTACTGAGAGTATGGATGAGGGGGTGCTGAGTACTGAGCTGGCCCAGGCTGCAACAGAGGCGGTTGTGTGGCAGAATAATGTGGCATTGATGAGGTGACTGGAGGTGGTGCAGAGCCGCCAGGCATGTGAGTTTGGGGTGGATAGTACATGTTCGGGTCTGGGTGCGGTGCCTGGTTCATCGCTGGGTATGCCTCGTAGCCGCCTCCAGCAGTGACGGATCCTGGAATGGCAGGATACTCTGAAGACACTGGAGTTGGGGGCGTCTTTGCTCCGAGGGACGGGGCAGCTGACGTATAAGAGGAATGAGACCCTGCGTGAGAGCTTGTTGACGAACCCAAGGAGCTGCCCGGGGGAGAGCCCGTACTGGTCGAGTAGGCCTGTTGCGAGTGGACTGGGGGCAAGGAAGGTAGTCTCTCGGGCATGTACGCTGGGCGTGGTGCGTTGTAGTATGGAAAGTCGGCCTGGCCCCGGGTCGGTACCTGGGAAATCGACGGTAGATCCAGCTTTTCGGTGTTTCTGTCGTTAAGCATGAAAACGACTGCGTGACCAAGAACGGTCAGGTGCTACCGAGCCAGCTAGGCACACAGGTTCGGCGCAGACGACAAACGGGAAGACGAGCAATTCCGGCGAGTGATAGCACAGAATGACACAAGGCCGCCAGGAAAACGCAATTGGCCTGCGAGGACGTCCAGTTCGTGAATTGGCGTGGATGCAGGGCGCACAGGCGTGAACCGCAAGTCGTGGCAAGGTGGTGTCGTGACGGGTCGTGACGTGGACAGAAATACTCCAGAACTTCTCTCAGAACTTCGCAGGTCCTCTGAACACACCGGAACGCAGCACAGTTGAAATTGGCGCCGAAGGTAAAGAAACTGGTGCTCGTTCGCTTGCCAGAGCTCCGGTATGGAATAGGGATGCAGTCCTCGGATTGTTGGGCCCGTCGCAAGCTTGGGCGCCGACTATCCTGTTAGACAAACCACCGTGGGATGAGCCGTTGTCGAGGTCTCGGACTCCGCAAAGGCGAGGCAGAGAAAGCCTAGAACAAAGTCTGGTCTCTAGAAGATTTTCCAACCGGGCGGTTAGCTCCCAGCTCCTTGGGGTGCCAATGCGATGAGGGGGACAAGAGCAAGCGCAGCTCGAGCAGGCGACGGTTGGCAAGCTGTTTGTCTGTGCATATGTGGGGGCGATAGGTAGGTAGTTCTCACCTTGGCTGGGGCTGCTCGTTGTGTCTTCGCGCAAACAGTTGCGGAGGACAGCCAGCTCGTGCGGATGGAAGGGATGAAGGGGGTGTTGAAGAGACAGAGGAGGATGAGAGGAGATCTTGAGAAAGGGCCTGGCGGTGGTGAGAAGAGAGCTTGAGGTTGATGGAGGATAGGATGTGATGGGAAGGTCAAGGTAGATCAGAGAGAAAACAGAACTAGTGCAAACCTGGCCCGGACCACTACTCACTCTCGCTCGACCAGGGTGACCTTTGGTCAACGCTACCACGGGTGGTCTTAGATTAGAATTGGCAAGTCTAGCCCCAGCAGAAAAGAGAGGGAATCACCGGGGTGGTTGAATCCTCCACGGCGAGCCTTGTTGCGTGCTGGGGTGGGATGGGATGGGATGGGCTGGGCTGGGGACAAAACGGCACAGTGGGCGCGGGACGAGAGAGGCCCAAGGCCAAGCACAAGTATGTATGTACGTACTGCGGACCTATGTACCATGCCACGGTACTATGGTAGCGAGAGCAGCCCCAGGTGGCGGGCAGGTAGGCCAGGTAAGGTGTCTGGGTGTTGGAGTGGTCGCTGATACCCAGTGCTGGTAGATAGTGGGTGGATGGATGGATGGGGTCAGGGTAGGAGGAGGTGGGAGAGCGGGGGGATGGACGGTGTCGATGGCACAAAGTGGCACCTGCTCCGAGCTGCCCACTCCCTCCCTCATGTCAAGGACAGGGTTCACAGTTTGCATTCACCGGCGGGCAGAGGCAATGGTGGAGTTTGGTGTCATCAGGCCTGTCAGTAGCAGCCTCTCTTGCCTCGCTGCCTCGCTCAGTCGCTCAACCTTCGGGCTCTCTCCACTGGACCTGCAAGGATCAGAGGTGGGCGGGGAGTGGGTACGAGGACGACGTTGGGTCCCCTGGTCCAGGTTGAGCTGCGGCCCGGACTGGGGGGGGGGAGGGGTGTGAGTGAGGAAAAAAGAGAGACAGCGGCAAGGTAAAAAGTACTTTGCCGTGGACGCAGTACATGGTACTATGCACGCAGTACGTACATGGATGAATATGCAGGGTTGCTGTGGGCGAGAGGGTGTGAGTGGTGTGGGTCCTGCGTTGGGACCGTCATCCGTTCGCGACTCCATGTACTGCGTCCATGTACCGTACTGCGGTCCGTACCTTACTGCTTGCATTGATTCAGTGCTTTCCACCTCAGCTGAGAAGGGTCAGCACAAGGTAGTGATGGATGAACCTTATCCTCGCCGGCCTTATCTGTGTCGGGACCAGCAGACCAGCACCATCAGCCCGCTCCGCACAGCCACTCCTTTGCCGCGCTTTGAAGGGACTCGTGTGGCAACTCGGAATGCCTCAGGCCTCTGTCAACTCGACCAGACCTCAAAAGGACGGGGACGAAGAAGGGGGAGGTGTGACACTATAGGGTTGCACCGAGGAAGAGGGGTGAGCGACTTTTGGCCTGACTTTTTCTGCTGGCTGGACCTGCTGGATCAAGTGGGCGGACAAGGATATGTGTGGATGTGGATGTGGATGTGAGTGTGTGTGGGGGGTGGCAGGGTGGCCTGTGCCCGGGATTTTGGGCTCGGCCACAGCAACGTCCACGGACCCGGTAAAGTGCGAATATATTGCCACCAACTACTGTGTCCATCCCTCCCTCGCCCACCGTTGCGGGCTCGCTCTTGCTGCTGACCGTAATACCGTTGAACCGCTCGCATCTTCTTTGTGTTTGCCGGCAGATGGATTTGGCGGCTTATCCTAGATATCACACATCAGCTGCGGGAGATATAGTGTGCTCGATAATGAGCAAGCACCTTGATGAAAGTATCGTGCCCTGGACACGATCATGGCGGTTGGACAAAACGACGGCCGCCTTTCCTTGTCTAGTCTCGGTCGTCCGCTCCTAGTAAACCTCTGCCATTCCCGATTCCGTGGTAAGAGAAGCGCACCAGAAAAAGCCAATTGTCCCGGCTCTTTCATTAGAGTTATCTAGCCGCTCGCTGAAATAGCGCGCGTACCGATCCTCTCCCTCTCTCACAGTGCTTCGCTTTGCCGTCCGCACGCTGGTCGCTTCTTCTCTGGAATTTCCAAGCCTGGTATTTCCGTGGTCTCGAGCACTGACAAATCGTTGCCCTGTTGCCGGATAGAAACCCAGGCCCAACGTGCAAGGAGGGATGGAGTCCTTACCGTTGTCTTAATGTCGGATGCGTGAGCGTCTCCTTATCTCTTCCAGCTGAAATCGACCCTGAATCGCACTGTCCACGTCGGACCCAACACAGAACCCGTCAATTGGATGGTTTCCCGCCCCAATGGCTCTGGCCTCGAAGTGTCCAGCCCTTCTGGGTGTAAAACCACTGTCAATCCGATCGGGTCAGCGGACAAGGTGATTCTCAACAAGAGAAGTCTGCAACGCCCTCCCCCGTACACTGGCCGAAATCCGATGTGAAAAGACGGCTGTCGTCATTGTTTAGACGCTCTCCACCTCTCAGGCCCGTCATCGGCATCGTCATAGTCAGCCACCTTTCTGAAAGACTGGCTGGAGGTCACCTCAGCCGCGACACTGAAATGCACAAACACAGTCTTGCCCCCATGCAGCTTCACTGTGCCGCCCTTCGGACACGGAAGGGATCGGCGTGCAGTCCTAGCCAGCTTCTGCCTTTCTCAGCGAATCACAAAATTCGAGCGGTCCGAGACGAAGACAGTGGCGGCCTGCCAAAAATACACGGTTTCTTCTGGACATTGGCCGCATCTATTGGCCGTTGGCCTGCGGATCGCTGCACAACCCCGTCCATCTTTCCATCAGACGCCTGTCGAGACACCTTTTGGCGTTGGAGGTGCTTGCTCATTGAGAACAATATACTTGTCCTCGCGGGATCGGAAGGCTGAGGCCCGTCCAATCGAGTCGCACTCAAAAAGCGCGACCGATCGTTGAGGTCAAATTGATAAGGTTGCCCATGAATCAATTGCGGCACTTAAGGTTCCTTCTTGAATCGCGCTGAGGTACTTGCGGGCTTTCTCGAGAGCTCGAAAGACGGCTGGCGTCGGGGACAACGCGCCAGGCTTGTAGAAGGCTCACGAGATACACATTACAGCAAGAAAGTCGTCCGTCGGCGATTAGTGCAGGCCGAGTGGGCAGGATGGGGCGTGCCTCTCACCCCGTCCTTGCAGAGTTGCAATGCCATGCCGCACTCGCCTATCTTCCCTGCTCGTCAAGTATTGGCCAAAAGCAGGGGCCGGGGCCGCGAATGTTCTGATGAAAGCCCGCATCTGCACGCCAGCCTCCCCGGTTCCTTGGCCGGTTCAGTGATCCTAGAGATCAGTGGCTGGTCGCGTTGGTTCAGCCTTGCCAATTGTCGACAGCTGTTCAAGAGCAACACGTTGTCTTACCCAAGCTTTATGTTGATGCAGCAGGATACACAGAAAGTCGTAGATTTGTTAGAGGGCAAGGTGGTCTTGATAGTGTAATGAGCAGCCCTGGCGTCCAATGACAGGCCTTCACAGAGAAGAGACGGTTCCCCTCGCGCGGCACAGCACCAGTGGAGCGTCCAGACTCACCTTCGAGGGGCCCTTGTCAATGCGAGTGTCAGATGTGGTGGGATGGGACCACCGTCTTGAAAGCTCGCAGCCTGATCCCACAATCTTGGTCCTGCCATGGGCAAAGGAGTAAAGCGCCTGTATCTATGACTGTTGTTGTACGAGGGCGGTGACTTCTTGGACTGGTGATTCTCTTGTGTCTGTAGATGTAGAAAGCGAGCGAGCGACTCAACGTCAGAAAAACGAGACTGCGTCAGCAGATCCTGAAGTGCCCAGTATCCTGTTCTCTCCTCAAGTTCTAGAGGCGAGGCGCGAGGGACCCCGCCCAACTGGATTTGTTTACTGTGCAGTACCACAAAGCAGAATGAACGCGGTACTGTGGTAGACAATCCATTGTTCAGTGGGAAGAGTCGACCGCTCAACGTGGATCTCTCCGGCTCAGTGTCCCGGCCGCTCTCTTGGCCGTTGATGACGATGGTCAAGAGGACCCACCACGGGGTGACGAGTGTCAAATACATAGTACTTGTGCAATGTAAGCAATACTGTCCGGGTGGGTAGTGTGGGTACTGCGCAGACGCGATATCCACAGACAGCTGCAAAGCTGCAGGAAGCCCCCGGGGCGCTTCTACATGCGCTGCGGGACGCACAGTCGTCCGTCGATATGCCAGATCCAATGGCGGACAGGCCCGCATGTGCTGCCGGCATGTGGCTCTTGATGCGGAGGTTGCTCACCTCCATACCGCAGAAAGGACCGTGCCTTCGTAATGGTGGCAACTTTCAAGATGGATTTTCTCT